CTGGAAGCTTTAGGCACCCTTTGCGGCCGACATTAGTTCCAGGCTCTTTAGCCTGCGATTCTGGACCTGAAGAGCTCGCCTACGGATCTCCGGATTTTCTGTCAAAACAGCCTTTAAACAGAGCTCAACCAAGCCCGGAAAAGCCAGCCGCTGATGTCCAGCCCCAGACATCCCCAGACCGTGCAATGAGGCTCACCGGAAAGCCTCCCACCCAATGTGTCCTGCGCAGAGGTATGCCACTGCTGCTGGAAGTCCTGCTTTGAATAGCTCTGCTCGAGCTTGGCTGCAAAGGTTTCGCCGAAGTCAAAGCCAGGAGAAAAATCCCTCAATCCTGCGAGCCTCAAACACCCCAGGCCCCAAAACAACCCTGCACATTCAGGCACATATGTTGCGTAGCAGAGTCCAGCATAGTCTAGTCCAAATTACGGTACAGTATGGTCTAGTATCGTTCGGTGTAGTAGAGAGTAGCAGTGCATGGTCGAGTATAGCCTAGCATAGTACGGTATAGTACAGTAGAGTCGAGCAACGCGTGGTGTAGTATAGTAGAGTACTGTGAGGCATAATATGACGACTATGTTGCATATACCGCAGTACCTTACAGTACAGTATAGTAGAGTAGAGTGTAGTATAGGCCATTCCAGTAAAAACACAATACAACATACCATCATCTATTTTGTTATACTCTTTGAAGTAATAACTGTAGTATGAAGGCATGCAATGCAACATGGCTAGCAACATGCAACATAACAAATAAAACAACGAATGTAACACAAGATTAAGTTGCAAGATAATATGTTGCAATAAAATAACCAAAGACAGGTGGCAAAAGAAAACGCGAAATAATCTAGCGCCACAAGATATGAAACGATGCAGTATAGTACAACAGAACGAAACCCAATATGAGCAGTCGTAATATATCAATATACAATGTAACATGACACGGTAAGATGTGATATGATGTACAGTAAGAGTATCTATAGTGTGGGAAAACCCGTGCATGAACGAATATGAGTTAAAACAACCTGACATACTGTAACATAGAATGAAAGTACAGACCATACTAATATCGCATTACATAATCTGATGATATATAATATAGTCCTGTATAGCATAATGCAGTCTAGGAGATGTATCATATTTCAATGCAAAATATCATGATCCAGTACAAAACACCCCTTGCTTTGATGATTTTCCTAAAATGCTAACATATGAAGAAACCTTTGTGACATCATACCATACAACTCGATTGGATATAATGTAGTTTAGGCTAGTATGGTATAGCATCTGAGCTTATCAGGTCATGTCATGTCATGTCATGTCATGTAACATGACACAGCCCAAAACATCATATGGAAACAAAACTGGGTAGGAACAACAAAGCAATAAATAGTACCTACAGAAGTATAAGACAATGCAATATACTATGACATAAGATACTAGAATAGAGCGGACTTGAATAGAAGATTGAGATAAGATCTGATAAAACGAAACCATACCATATATCGTACCATCTTTCAGAAGACACTACGGTATAAAAACCGCATAACACAACATGGTATGATGATATGATACGGTATGATACCATCATATGAATGTGAATATGTGAGGTCGATGATTCCTAGGAGAGCATTTCACACCTAGAGGCTTCGTGCACATTCATGCCTGGAGCCAGGAGCCTTGGGCTTGGATATCCAGGCACTGGAGCTTCGCCTTGGAGGATGAAGCTCCGGGAACGGGCGTCAGGGTTTGCGGTTGAGGGCTTAGGGGGTTAAGATTTGCGGTTTAGGGGTTTAGGGTTTGGGGTTGACGGGTTTTCGGGGTTTAGGGGCTTTGGGGCTTAGGGTTTAGCGGTTTAGGAAGTTTAGGAGTTTTAGGGTTTAGCGTACGGGGATCCTGGGGGTGTCTGGGAAGCTTTACGGTGGCGACTGCCTATACGTCTCAAGCTGGACCTTGCGTCCGAAGGTTTGGCACACGTCAGCGTTGGTTGCAGGGACCGCCACACCCTCATCCACCAAGATCTGTCGCAAGTTCTGTATGAGTGCGGCAGCCCTAGGCGCATGCACGCACCTTTTCAAGTGTGCCTTGGCCGACTTACTCATCGCGTACTGCGAGTCCAATTTCGGGAGAAACTGGTGACACCATGCACACATCCATGCCGGCCGAGGTGTATTAAGCACCGTTGGCACTTCAGCAATGTAAGAGCGGATATCCGTAAAGCGGTCCAACGGAAGCCGAGGGTGGACACGTTTTATGTGTCCGCACCTAGCTATGGAGAGCTCCCTCATGGTGTTGGCCTTGATCACAGACATTGCAGGTCCACTGTTTGCGCCTGCCAACAGTGACGTGCTTCTGCCGGGCTTTGCTGACGGCCCGGGAGACGGCCTGCATGCGCTGTCGCTTTTGCTGAGCAGCTTGACGGGCCTGACGCGGCCGGTCCCGACTCGAGCCTGGCCTCGCCGCGTGTTTGGCCCGCGGCCGTTTGGTCTTAACCGGAGCTCCTTGACACACAGGGCCCTTGGCACGACTCACACCATGCTGAGCTACGGCATGCTCGGATGGCTTGCTGCTGCGTGGGCCGGTGTCCACACGGACGGGGCTTGACACACTGCCCTCCTCCTCAGATGCTGCACAGGCCGGAATCCATGAGTCGTCAACCTCCCCAGGCCCGAGCTTGGCACGAGCCCCGCCTCCACGATCTCGCTTGCCGCCACCACGGGGTGCAAATCTTTGCGATGGTGAAAGCCCCGTGGTCTCCTGGCGAAGGTACTCAGGCAGCCGATCACCCTTAGGGACCAAAAGGGTATAATGGCCTAGCGAGTAGTGCAAGTAAAGGACAGTGGCCGACTTAGGGTTGAGGTAAGAAAGCACCTGGTCAGGCTTGTCCAAACTACCGCACACCAACTGAATGGAAATTCCAAGCAGTGCTGCCGTTGCGCGGAAGCAAATCTCATCGGCCCAACGGGCCGGCCGCCAAATGGCTTCGAGGTATTCTCGCCATGTGCCTGGCGGGTCCCCGTCCTCGACGATGCGAACGTGTGCTGCCTCGGCCGTGGGGTCCAACGAGTCTGGTTGCACACCACTCGGCTCAAAGAAAGGCCTGAAGCGCTCCTCGTGACCTTGGATGTAGGTGGCCACTCGGCTCCTGAGCCCGCGCCCTTTTGCATTCAGGTCGGCCTTGATTTCATCAAAGGTGGACCTAGTGGTTTTCAAGACAAACCCCGCGGTGACACAGTTGTAGAAGCAATGTCCCGCCGCCCCACACTCAAGTTCATCCCACACCCGGTCCGCCCACGCCACTTGGAGGCACATCCATGTGGGCGAAGCTCCGGGAACGGGCGTCAGGGTTTGCGGTTGAGGGCTTAGGGGGTTAAGATTTGCGGTTTAGGGGTTTAGGGTTTGGGGTTGACGGGTTTTCGGGGTTTAGGGGCTTAGGGGCTTAGGGTTTAGCGGTTTAGGACGTTTAGGAGTTTTAGGGTTTAGCGTACGGGGATCCTGGGGGTGTCTGGGAAGCTTTACGGTGGCGACTGCCCCGCAACGAGACTTTGGGATGACAATGAACCTCACAGCAGCGAAGCCTAGATTCCAATCATCGACAGTTCGCGGCCCGTGACTCAGGATCAGAAGGCACCGGTACGCCACCCCCGAGCAATCGAGAAGCCTCATGAAGAAGCTCATCCGCAAACGGCGCCAAGAGCTTGTCCCTGAGGGCGACCGACACCGTGCTTCCCTATACTGCAATCTGCACCAGAGCTATGTCAGCTTGCAATCATACAGTAGCAACAAGCAGTAGTCGTCGCAGTGATTTTGGTCATGTCGTTGTGGTTGCGGCGGCAGTAATCGTGGCGCGGTTAGTTGTTTCTGCCGTTGCAAACAAGGAGATTCGAATGAAAACATTCGCACCGCAGCATTCAGAGCTTCAAAGATAGCCAACAATTCCCTTTTATAACGGGTCCGTGACTCGTGACGACATGCTCGCGAATCCCTGGCCTCAGCATCGGGCTGAGGGCTTGCCTGACCCTGCCACCGCCGGCAGCGAAGAGTTCGCTGAGAGCCCGGAGGCAAGACAGGCAGAGGACGAAACTCAGCGAGCCTTGCCTGCAGGGTAGTGCTGCGGAATGCGATCATAAGACTGCCGAGCCGACTGCGCAGGGCTCCTCGCCAAGCAGCTGGCGAGGCAGTTGCCAAGGCGCTCCGCCACAGACAGATCCAGCCTAGAAGAAACAGAGGCGGCTGCTAAACTCAGAGGAAGCCACCTATGCAGCTATGCATTCTTTTTTGAAAATCGACCCTGGCGCCCGACGTGCCGCAACGCCAACTTGAAGCCCGAGACGACCCCATGTTTCCTTTCTGCAGAGCAGGAACGGCTCCCCGGCAGAGCGAAGGGCCTGGGCCAGAGCTTGAACAATGCCGACTTCGATCCAGTAAGGGAAGATGCCATTGGCAAACCTACCGCGAGTTAGGTTGGGTCGCGACGTTCCCAGTACTATGACTCTGGCACTACTCGAAACCGCCTTTGCCATTGTTGATCTCTGAAGCATGGGTCCAAATGCCTCAAGTCGGCCTTAGAACCCCATGCGATGGTTGTTCTAGCTCTTTCAATAGGCGAAGCAACGCGTCTAGTGCAGGTACTACCGACACGACATCGACAGGCAAACCAACACCGAAACTCGGACCCTACAACTGCAATCTCGCGGCTGTTGCCACAATTCTCAGGGTCGTTCATGTACCGTAGCAAGCAGAACATGACGGGACCCTCATTTCGATGGCCAAGGCCAGCAAGGCCCGTGCCTGCAGCGACATCTCCAGGGTGCTGAAGGCGCAAACCGCCTCCTGCGTGCGCCCGGAGCGGCAAAGCTCACCTTTGCTCGCAGGGACCACCGGGGCTTGATGGAATCTGAACGGCGGAACATGCTAGTTGCTCTTTGCATGTTCGCTTCTGATGCACCCCCTAACGGCCTAACCTTGATGCAAGGTATCAAAGATACGGATAGGAACCGTCTTTATCCAAAAGCCAAGCCAGCTTGGCCTACGAAAGCCGCAAGACAGCCAGATGAAGCCAGAACGGAACCTGCCGCGCCCCGCGCCCCGTCCCGGCCCGGGTCAAATGCCAGGCGGCGGAGGCGGAGCTCCAGGGCCTCGGTGAAACGCGAGGAATCGGAGATTCTGATCACTGGTGTGACCTCCGTCTGTGCTTCTTGTCTGCAGCAGAAGCTTCCCAATCCTTCAAGCCAGGCTAAACCCGCAAACTCGTGAATCCCAAACCTTCACCTGACAAGCCCTGAATCCCTCAATAAGTAGCAAGACTGCAAGATGGAATTGACAAGAGCCCAACCTCTGACAGTCTCTCTGCGGACCTCGAGGAGGCTGTTCCGGTGGAGAGGCTTCCCAGAGGACTCTCCGGGCGCCACCTCTTTGAAGTTCCCATGGGGTGCTGAGTTTGGAGGGTTTTGGAGGAGCTGCAAACAAGAGCATGAAGGTCAAGGGGTGCTTGAACCCTGCAAGCCTTCTTGCCTGCGCCCCGAAAGGGAGGATCGAAAACCTCCGCGTTTGCCCTGTCCGAGCCACCACCGGGATAGGCACCGGCTCGTACAGCGTCTGGTGGTCGGCGGCAGACTCCTGTGTATCCTCGGGTAACTGGGCACTGGCAGGCTGGCAAGGCTTCGGCTTTGGTGACCGGCCCTCCCGGGCTGAGGATCGTGCGAAGTAGCTCTGCTGTGGTGTTCCTCCCCAGGACCTTCAAGGACTGGGGACTGAAGTTCATGGAGACATAGAAAGGCCCGCAGGAGCCTGATCTCATGTCAACTACACAGCACCTATGCAGAAGAAGCGGCCTTCTCAAGCCAACTTGACACCGCAACCTGGTGCGCAACGAAGACTTCTTTCCGAGGCGCCTCTGCAAATGGAAGTAGGCCGCTGGTGTATTGGGCGGCGGGGACACCACCAGCCTCCACGGCCCAAGCGCCACGATGAAATTTCAGCCCCGTTGAAAAAAGGAGTTACGACTTGATCCTGTCACGACCGAAAGCTCCAGGGCCTGAGCATGAAGTTAACAGAAGAGAATCAGAAGCACAGCACATGAAACTTCAAACTGCCCGAAAAAGCGGAACCACCGGAAGGGATATCAGGGAGCAGCTGAATGAAGGAGCCACCACACAAGGAAAAAGGCACCATTTTTGAGCGGCCCCCAGATAGACTCCCGGAAGCCAGGGGGCTGCAAGATCTCCTCGGTCACATGGGGCCGTAGCAGTGTGGTAGCCAGCACCGTTCGGACGTGGTGGCTCCTCATCTTCTCTTCGTTGCAACTGAAACTGTCGTGAACATCTTCCTCATCACATCTCATCTCTTATCCGCATCCTGATCACCGTCCTCATCATCAACGTCTTCTTCAACATGCTGCTGATCATAATTCCGGAAGCTTAAAACTGCTCGGATATGATGTGCCGTTTCCCGAGCCTGAGGGTTGCCAGCAGGTCGCCCAGCAGATACCACGACGCCTCCTGACCCGGCTCTGAAAATGCGAGGAAGGCTGAGCAGGGCCCTTCGCGAAAAGCCGGACGACAACGCTGCACCCGCACATTGCTGCAAGATCCAGGTAAAGCTCTCCCTGCCTGGGTGAGCAGAGGCTGCTGTTGCGCCTGACACAGCTCAACATGCTCAAGGCACGGCAAGGCCGAGAGAGCCGACCGAGCTGTCAGAAAAGCCATGAAGAGTACCGGGTTTCGAATGAATGAGGTTTTGAACTCGGTAAATCGCGGGGCTTCAGAAGTACTTCGAACTGAGCGCACTCTTGAATGAACTCGACAGCCAGCATGTCTGAAGGCTTCAGGGGCCGCGCCCATGCCTTGCATTTTTCAGGCTTCCAAGCAGCCTGCAGCGCTGATCCCAGCAGCACCGGAAGCACCGCGAAGCGGAGCAGCCGCTCCTCAGAAGGCGCCGAGAGCCGTGCCGAGAGGGAGCCAAGATCTTGTGGGGTTCTCTCGAGCTGGGATAAAGCCTGCGACCATACTGCATGCACAGCACCAAAACTGCTCGTCCACGCTTGTAAGACCTTTCTATGCTGAAATGAGAACTACCGAATCAAGGTTTAGACTTGCAAGTTGTGGGCACGAAACACCCCAAGAATCTCCGAAGCCCAAACTATCCCTGGACCCTGTGCTGTCCTGAAGAATTGCGCTCAGCTGATTCACATCCTTGGTAGCCGGATCTGGATCTGCAAGACGTTGGCTTGAAAGGCGGCCGAGCTTGGGTATGCTCTTGGATGGGTCCTGCCTGTAGGGTCTTAGATTTCATTTTCATCGCCGGATCATGCCAAAGCGGGGTGTCGTCAACTGAGGCCTTGGCAGAGGCGAAGACGTCGTTGATGTACTCCAGGATGTCGTTCCTTGCACATCTGACGAATTCCGACCAAAAAGACGACAAGTGCTTGTGAGACCGCGCTTGAGCGTTGCACAACGCTGAGCCGGGGCGCTGTAAGCTGAAGGCATTCTTCATGTCTCGCCAGATGGTGGAGCGGATTGTCTCGTCAGCCATGCCTCGACTCGACTTCACTGCGGCTGTGGCTCAAAGAAGCTTCGGGCCTACCGGGGAGGGCTGCTCATAGGCCTGTGGGATGTCAATAAGCAGTTTCCGAAAGTGCTGCGGCCAAGCCACGCCAGAAGTCTCTGAGAAGACAGCACACCTAAGGGCATTTCGCGCACAGGCTGGAAAGACGTGTTAGCGTTTGCTCAGAAATCTGTGTAGCAGAGCCCCGGGCAACCTGGACCTAGGGCCTAAAGCGCCCACCTAACTTCCTGAGGAAGGCACGTGCGTGAAGAGGATCTTCGAGTCTTCCACCACCAACTCGAAGAGAGAATTGCTCCAAGAGTCCGCGATCTTCCTTTGAGAAGGACTTGTTTAGGATTAAGGGCTCACTTTGGGTTCAGGTTTGGGGTTCAGCATTCAAAGAGATGGACCCGTGCAAGTCTTCGGGAGCCAGGCGCAGAGAGGAGGGTCAGGGCTTTGCTGTGCTGACCCTCGATTCCGGGGTCACAAATCCTCGATTATCCCCGAGATCAGGACGTGTTTCAGCTTCGAGAAGATCTCCAACGAAGTCGCTTGCACGTGAGTTCGCACCTCACAGGGGGTTACAGATTCAGTCGTCAAACACCCGCACTTTTGGGGGTGCCTTGTTATAAGTATCGTATAATGAGCCCCAAAACCCTGTTCTACTTATTGAGGCCCCTACGTCGTTACCACTTCCTGAATACAAGGCCTACAGCAGGCCTGTCCTTGACAGCTGCTTTGCCATGGCATGCCGCCTCCGCCCTCAAAAGCCAAAAGGCCCATTCTCCAGACCCAAAACGGATCCCTGGGAATCCCAGTACCTTAAATTCGGGGGGAAACCCCAACACCTCCAACTTGACCAGCAACTTTCCTCTGAAGGAGGCTTTGTGAGAAACCCCTTGAGGAATCCGCGCCTGGGCTGACGGGTGGTGGTAGTATTTCGCACTCTGCGAGAAAAAGGGGAAGGGCACTTCGGAGTAAGGGTTGAAGAACAGCATGAGGTTCTCCTGAAGAATCTCGCAAGAGATCTTCCAAGATTCAAGGCACTGGAGTCTTCGGTGTCGGCCTGTGGTATGCTCGGCCAGCGTCTCAACGCTTCAGGTCACATTGGCTTCAGAAAGCTTCCGCGGTCCATGAGCTTTTGGGCTGATGGCCTTTGATGCTCAAGTGCAACAGCTTGCAGACTTCAGCAAAGCCCCGCTTCCTTGTATCTACGATCCGCGTCTGAGGCGTTTAGATCATCAGAAATTCCTTGGCGCTCACTTCCGGCGCAGACACGGCTCCTCTCTCATCATCGTAGCGATGTCTTTGACCACGGTGATCCACAGGGGGAGCAAGTCCTCGTTCTGCCCTGAGCTCGACTTGAAGGAAAAGGTAAAATACAGATGGTCATGCTAACAAAAATGAAGCTAGGACTCGACTTAGAGTGAAGAGCACCCCCAAACCCTCGCGAAAACCAATTGCTCTCAAACCGCCAAACACAGCTCAAAACCCCCAAAACGTGCGTGAATCCCAGGCCCGAGCTCCAGCAGGGACTCCCAAAGTCGTCCGAGCCTGGAGATAAACCCGAAAAAGCTCGAAAACAAAAAAAACTATTCCTACACCAAGAGAAACCCAAACCTACAAGACGAGGCTCGGAAGTCGAAGCTGGCAGTTACCACTTCATTCCTCTGCTTGGGGCGAGCTTTCAGGAGCTGTTGGGGGGGGGTTAGGGCCGGTGTTAGGGTTTCAAGGCTCGAAACTTTGAGTGCTTTGGGGCCTCGGCTTTTCGAGGCTGAGCTCTGCCTTGGTATGCCTTCTCAGCTTTTCGGGCTTCGGCGTGGCCTCGGGTCCTAAGATGGTCTCAGGCCAGGGGGCAGGTAGAAGCCAGCGGTGAGGTTGCAGAAGAAAAGCGACTCCGCCGGCCTCAAAGCCCTGCTTTCACTCTTGAGCTCGGAACGGGCCCGGCTCCCCTCGGCCAGATCTCCAATGCAGCTCGGAGGCGTTGCTGCCAGCAAGATGTGGATGGTCTGCAGTACCTGCGCCTGAAAATGCACCGGTCACCCCCGTGGAAAGAGGCATCTGCAGTGCACGAGACTGGTGCCCAATGTTAGCATCCTGCAAGCTTGGTTTAGACCTACTCGCAAGACTCTTCACCAAACATCACCAAACCACCGCTCGAACATAATCTATCACGACCATACAACCTTTCTTCAATCGGCGCATTACTACCACGAGTGCCAAGACGTGCAAGGTTTGTGGCATCCGTTCGAGCACTGGCCTCCTGAAGCCTGTCGAGCCGATTGGCGAAACCCATCATCAACCCCCTCATCTCCTCGGCGGCCCTGATAAAGTCTGGGTTCCCACGAAGTCTTTAGGAACAGAGAGTTGGAGCACGGAGAGTTTAGGGCTTCGCGGCTTCTGCTCTGGGAAAGCTTCGTGTGTAGGACTGAACTGCCCCCTCTGCGGAGCCTGCAGGTGAGGATGCTGCGTGAAGAGCAGGTCTCTCAACCGATCCCGGATGCGCCGGTCAACGAAGGGCTGGGCGAACGCCTCTGGGAGTGGACTTGCCGGGTTTCCGGGACATTGCAGCGAAACCTCGAAACGTGCAGGAGATGCACCTCGCCAATCTCGCGGTGGGGCTGCCCGTACCTCGAGGCTCTCTGATATGGAGTGCAGCAATTCAGAGCATGAGGGCTTGGGTCCACGACAAAACCTTGCAAAAATCTTTCAGGTGCCGTGGGGAAGCCCTCTTTGATCTTGTGCTGGGGACAACCAGCCCAAAAAATCCAAGTACTGAAACATACGGACACTCTTGTACTACATTGCAGCCCGGACACGCCCAGGCTAGGCCCTCGCCGATACGCTGGATCAGCTGCACCTCAGGTCTTGGCCCTGCTCCGGAAGCAGAACCTGTGTGCTGAAGCTAAACACCACAGACCACAATGCAACGGCGACAGCCTCCCCAAAATTCGAGCATGGTCATCGATAAACTTGCGGGTTGAACATGTTGAACGGAACATCCATGAGCATCCATCTTTCAAGTCCAACAATTGCACCAGCACTCCCTTCACAATGCTAAGAAGAGAGGAGACGACGCCCCTGCGACACAAACACCCAGCTCCCCTGACAGGCTAAGCTCTGGACCGCTTCCGCCACGTGGCGCGCCTCGCTGCCGTGGCGGCGGAAGAGCTCCTCCGGCCGCGCTCGCGCTGGAGCGCTCTTGGAGGGCTTTTTGGGGCTCTGGGAGCTCCTGGGAGACGAAGTCCAGGTGGGCGCAGAGCTCGTCCATCTCCATGACCGACTCCATGGCGTCAGGCCCGGCAACCCCGGCAAGGGCAAGGCGGGGCTCGCGAGGGAGCGGGAATTCGTTGAAGGGCAGGGGCTGGCAGTCTAGCAGTGCGAAGTGCTGCTTTGATCAGGGAGAGCCCTCTACATGTTGCTGTCTTGTACATGGCGTAGTGGTTCTGTGAACTTCCAGTGCCCACCCTCTTTGCATGGAAGGCCATTCGCCAAACAGGCGCGAACCAACTGGCGAAACATAGATGGGAAAAAATTGCTTCAGCCAGCAGCTGTAGAGCGGCATGACTGTGATGGCAAGGAAAACGGATTCGGGAAAGCATGCAGAAGATTGGCAGCACTCCGCCTGTCCTACCCGAAAATGCCAACGCGACTGCTACTACCAGCAACTTGACCAACGGCGCTGCTGTCCCGGTGCTGGTGGCAACAGTGGTGGTGGGCAGCGGCAGCGGCAAGACTGGCAGCACCCGCCGTTCAGGTCGAAGCGGAATCGTGTAGTGTCCTGCTTGTGGCGCCTCCGAGTGAGGACAAGGAGCGCCTCGGCCTGCAGCACGGCAGAAAAGCTACACACCTCGAAGGATCAGAACCATGTGATGGCGTTGCCCACCAGTCGCACGAAGAAGGGTACACTGCATGCTGCATGCCTCGTATCCTTGCCACAAGAGTTACACTGAAAGTCTCAGGTGTCATGCGGCATTGAAAGTTAGACTTACGGTGAGAATCATGCTGAAACACAATAAGGAGTTCTCTGAAAGCGTGAAGCGCAACGGGCTTCGCCTGCTCTGCCCGGTCTTCGGCTTCCTGCGGCAACTCCACCCGCAGCGAATCTACTACAAGCTCTGCCTCAAAGGGCCAATCGTTGGAATTAGAAAGCGAACTGCTAAAAAAGACCCGAGGCTTTACCTTGCGTGCTGACTGAAACTCATAACCGTCGCGCTCCCTGTCGGCAAGGAAAGGAAAAGTTTCAGACCTTGCTTAAACCGCATGGGGCACCTTGATGTAGCCTTGCATTCGCAGCAGATGGTCCCGCAGCTGCGTAAACTCCTCGCGAGGTAACACGGGGATCACAGGGGTCCGGAGCAGTCAAGCATCCTCCAACAGGACGACATGCCTTGTCAAGAACCCTAAGGCCAACTAGACCAGGAACGGACGGCGAGCAGTAAGCAACCTTTTTCACCGGCCTCCAGACTCAGGACGATTTCGTCCTTCGGGCCTCCGACGTGGAGCACATTTGTGAACCTGAGGTGCGCAAAAGTAGAATGAAGATGAGGTTGGGATGCGCGGATCTTGTCCCTTTCGGGGCCCCGGCCATCCCACGACGGAGCCCACCCACTGCTCCCATTGCGACGGAACGGCCTACGACGCAAAAGGCCATGGGAGGGGAGAAGTGTTCGGAGTCGCAGCCTCATGGTATGGGAGGGACAGCCCAGTATCGGCGAGTTGATACAGAGTATCTCGGACTCTCGTCGCGTCAGGCTGTTGACGAAGCTTCTGGGAAAGAAGCCTTCGATGGGCTCTACCGGCACTGGTTCCGAGTTTGACAAATCTTCATGCAAGCCTGCTGTTGTTTGACCGCCACGATCGCGTCATCTTCACCTGCGTTCTTCGGGCTTCAGGTATGCGAGAAACGAGCTACGGGCCCAACTCCAACAAGTCTCGACAATGTCACACTGTGCACAAGGTGCATATAAAACAGTGCACGCTTGGGATGACACGTCACGGTACATGCATGCCCAGGGCATGGCTAGAAGAAGGCGTTGCAGATGGATGCCAGGATGGTAAATGCATGAAAGTCTCAAGCTGTGGCCTGCCGTGCAAGGCACGAAGATGCATTGCGCCCGGACTTTGATGGGCGTGCCACATAGCGACCTGCACACACCCGATCTTATCACCATAGGCTGTTTAGCATTGGTACATCTGACCCCTTCACGGCTTCATGTGTGGCATCCTACCCTGTGGCGAGCTTCCTGAAGTGCGGGGCATCGGAACCGACCTCAAGTCAGGTTCACCCTGACGTGGCGCTGGGATGAAAGTAGATGATTGACCTGACTGCCGAGTTGTTCGGTCTGGCTCTGTGTCCCAAAGTCTTGGTAACGGCCACATGTTGCTTTCGACTCTTCTTCTGCTGCCACCTAGGTCCAGCATACTAGTAAGAACAGAACCATAACTTACCATAACCATCAAAGTCCTCGGAATAGAAAGAGACGGCAATGCTGGCAACAATACTAGCAGCCACACAAAGATAATCAAATTGATGTAAAGACTTGAGACGACAAGTCGAACGTCAAAGCCTCTGAGTTCGATCCACCAGAACGTGACTGAGTCTGCTACGTCCCTGCGGTGCCAGGCACAAGCAAAGGACAAGTGCAAACCAAACGACCTGAGTCAGAAAGGATGAGGCTCAGATTTAGGGGATTGGCCTCTCAAGCGTCGGAGGTCTTGGGTTGCAGCAATATATACGAGAAAGAGCTTTGCACTCAGGGTTGCAACTGGCATTGTTGTGTGTGCTCTTTAGGCGCAACGTCCTGTCGTCGCAAGCATTCTTCTTGTCGTACTAGCCGCTGTTGCTGCTACTCATGCACGATGCATCACAACATGGTGCAGTTGCTGAAAAAAAAATGCATGTATGCATGTTACATGTGTGCATCATTTGATATGATATGATATGATGTGATATGTCTGATATGATATCATATGACATGAAGTGACACGATATGATATGATATGAGGATATGATATGATATACGAGATTAGGTGATAACGTACACGTAACACACATATTGATACAAATCATTTGTATATGTCAGGGCATCTCAGGTCATTGTATAATCTTATAGCCTTCGGCTTGGATGGAGTGTTGATTTGGCAGCAACGACTTTCAGCGGTTGCGGTTTCTGCATCGTGAATTGATAGGAGGTCAGGCGGCGACTCTCAATTTACCGCCGATTATGGCTTATAGATGTTAAGGAAGCTTCAGTGCGGCATTCCCAACATGCCTGGGTCTGCGGCGCATCGACTTTTCCGACACGGTCCCCGCAACATGGCGCTGCTTTCCAGAGGCGGTTCTTGCAGAAGACTGTACGAAGCTGGCGAAGCTGGGAAGTCACTTCTGACACGGCTGTAGACGGCCAGGAGCCGCAGCGGCAGAAACGTGCAGAACTGCAACCAATTGAATCACATCATCCGTAGCTCTCTCGGGTGTGCAGCTCTTCGTGAATAGTTGGTGTGGGTTACAGCAAGTGTCTCTTATGCCCTGACTACACTGCAAACAAGGCATTGAAGGATTCGGAACATATCATGACTGCAAAGACAATAAGAACACCTGCAAGTAGTCTTACGGTGCAGTCTTTCCTTGATATTGCCAAGACTTTGTAGTGATTGTGGAGGTCAGCTTGGGCAAGCGAACACCGACACCCTGAATACTGCGGGCACATGTCTTTCCGGACTCGGCAGGCACACATCTCGTCAGCATGAGATCACCGTAAGGAGCTTGAACTTTGGCCCCCGTGCCTCGAAAGTTCAAGGATAAGGGAGCCCGGGACTGCTATAGTTACAGGCTAGAATAGCACACGCTTGGCAACAGGGGCTCTGTGCAGAACTTTCAAGCTCAAATTGTCAAAAAAGCGGCTTAGGGTAGGGATGGAGAAGTACCCACTCTGGCGCATGGCCCCTCCTGCCCAAAAGGGAAGCCTCACTCCAACCCATTTCCCAATCTGTGGAGACTCGGGAGGGGCTTTAGGACCCGATCCCAAACAAGGGCGGCAAAGGCTTCGGCTGTCGCTTTAGTGCCATCAGGCGGCCAGTCGGAATGAAATCGTCGCACCTTGGATTTCTCCCTTTCTCCCTTGCAAACCCTGGGATTTCTTGCCAGAAGTCTGCTTCGACAGCTTACGGAGTTGGTTTTTGAGTCGTGAAGAGCGGTCTCTGGACTACAACAACAATGTCCAAGATAACACGATGTCGAGATGGAGAACCATATTCTCAGATCAGGGCCTGAGACGATATTCACGTCGCAGACCCGCGAGGGCAACAAATGGAGTACTGCATCGGAACATTGATGCCGGTTCCTCGCCTTCCGCAAGCAAAAGACTTGGCAACTGCTCAGCCACCGAATAACATAATGGGGGCAAGGCCCAATCACTGAAGCAAGACTCTGTCTTTGGGTCCTTCAAGCTGGCTTGTCGGCGTAACTGCCTTGAAGAACGCGTTCCTTAGATGTCTTGTTAGTATCGGCTAAGGGCTCTGGTTGCAGGAACCCACGGCATGAATACCGAGACTGCCTGGAGGTTTCAACAGAAAGCAGCCTCTTCGGATCGGGAACCACAACAACTCCGGCGCTGCCCTGGAAAGCACACCGCATACGACAGGACTGTGTCGGACTGGTTAGGGTCTTCTTCCTGTCACTACGCCTAGGACCCTAAGACCACCAACAGCGCCTGGCGCATCTTTGCTAGAGATGGTGGCCAAGTCTCTGCGTGACAGATATCTTCGTCGGCCAGCGCGCAGGCATGCCTGAATGATGGCCGGGAAGACCGGGGATGAACACAATCTGGAAACAGAGCCTCTGTCGTGGCGAAAGCAAAGACCCCGAAGCTGCAGAAGCTACGATCTTGAAGTTTTCCAGGCTACCAGCTAGACACGGCTTGGTACCGGTAAGTCAACCCTGTGGACCTTTTCCAATGGGGACTTGGGCCGAGTATGCGTCGCGTAAAGACATAGCTAAGGACCATAGGAATAGCAATGGAGGCAGGGTAAAATCTACACCCCCCTCGCCGTGCTGCTCAAGCTAAGGCGGATAGTACATGGCTCCAGATCTCCAGGTTGCCCTGGGCTTCAACGTTTTGTGAAAGACTTGCCAAAGCGAGCATATATAAAGCACAACGGGGAAGCCCTGCAGGTCCGAAGCAAATCAAAATGAGAACTCAGCGCCCATGGGTGCGGTTCCATGCATCCCACTCGGCCTGAGTGTAACCTCCACGGCGCTGGCGATAGTACTCGTCCCACTGGGCCTGAGTATAGCCTCTGTACATTGGCTCAGGGTCTGCAACACGACCACGACCGCGTCCCTTTTGGGATGGGCGGTTCTGAGCTGCAGTCTGGCGATTGCAATCTGCCAAACGTTCCGTTTGGTAAGTCTGGTCTCGGGCGCTACGGAGGCTATCGGCAAGAATTTGGCCGATCTCAGTCGTGATCCCATCAGTTGTGGTAGCCGAGAGGACGACTTCCCCGTCGAAGGTCAGGATCCGCTTTGCCGCTTCATTCACTGCGGCCACTTCGGCAAAGAGGCGAGGAGGGAGGAATGCACCCATGTAGGTCAAGCCGATTGGGACGTCCGCTGTATCATCAATGAAACGCAGGCTCCGCAATGGCTCCACTTCGCAGTGGGCATAGTAAACCAACTTCGCAGGCGGGACACTGCCTCCACCGTAGTGGGAGTCGGCACGCAAGTACCTTTGCTCCTCGCTGCGGCCTGGATCGGGCAGCACAGCGTTCGCCAAATGGTCGAACTTCTGCATGTCCTCGATGCTGCGACCCTCCTGCATCATCCGCGTGCTGAACTGTTCGTCCTTCTCGAAGCGATAGGACAACGAATCAAAGCCCAGCTTGGATGCTCTCTGCTTTCGGTCTTTGGCATCACGGATAACACCCGCCTCTGCGCTCATCTGACCACGCTTCTTGGGTCCGTCACCGAGTCCACGATGATCGCTCGCGAGGAGGTCCTCAATGGGCTTCTGGGCGCCGGTAGCTGCGGTCGCGAGGAGGCGCTGCCTGAGCCTCGAATTCTCGAAGGCTCGTCTTGTGATCTTCGCAGAGTCGTCCGTCTGTGGAGCTTTGCAGCGTAGACAAAACAACATGCCATTCGCCACCACTGCCTGGCACTGCCTGCACGGATGTGAGATCCGTCGTATCGCCCTCCTCCTCCTTGGCCTCGGCCTCGGGCTCGGGAGCGAAACCATCAGCATCGGCAGGCTCACCCTCGCGGGTGGCTTCATCCAGGTCCATAGCGTCATCCTTTTCGATAACAGCAGTGGGCTTGGAAGCCACCTTCCGCATCTTTTTCGATGCGATCGCCTTTGGGGCGATAGCGGCCTGCTTGGGAGGCGGTGCCGATGATGAGCTTGCTGCCGCCTCCTCGTAGTCGCGCTTGGCACGGAAAACATGCTCTGGCTCACCCTCGCGGGTGGCTTCCTTGTGCTCGGCGACGTAGAGCGGGAGGTTCTTTTTGCTGGTGTCGACGGCAGATAGGATACAGTCCGGGGGAACATTGTCGCGGGTGAGAACGCCATCGGTCTCCGTCACAAAGAAGACACATCCAGCGGCGATTGCTCGCTGGGTATCAATGGCCAGCTCAATGGGCTGATTGGATCGCATACCACTTTTGTAGTTGGTATCATCCAGACGATACGGCGACAGATAGTTGTGGGATCTGTCCGATCTGGCGGAGCCAGGAATCATGCCGTCGCGGAGGATCCCCTTCATACCACGTTCGTTTGTGCGGTGGTACAACTTCGCGGGCGAGTCCTCGCGGGAGAGTACGGTAACCCCTGACGCTGCTTTGCATCTCAGCGTCTGTCTGGGACAATCCACTGTAAAACCGGGTAGCGAGGAAGAAGTCCGCGTCCGGATTGTTGCCGATGAGCTTTTGATTGTGCCCTTGGGCCATTCTCACACGCACAGGGAATAGCGGCTGCCCCAGAGTGTCCTTCATGGGGACATCGATGCCCAGCAACCTGATTCTTCCCTTGTTATCGGCTTTCGCTGCTCGGAGCAGCTGCCTTACGCCCCATCGTGAGTCCCGCGCAGTGTTGAAGACCTGGAGCAGAGCGTCAACGTCTGTCCAGCATCATCGATCGAAGATCAGTGCAGGAAAATCCTCCATGGCATGGCCACGAAGCAACTTGGTGAGGAATTTCAAATCACCATGCTTGAAGGTCACATGCTTGTCGCCAACGATGTCCTCCGGGTTGAATGGCTTCATCAGGTGCTTTGCACCATTGTAGAAGTACTCATTCGGGAGCTTCTCTGGCACAGTGGCTGCCCCTTGCGGGGCGCTTTCATCAATGAACATCATCCTTCTCATGGCATCCTCATCGCGGTCGGACTTCTTGGTCCTTGTATGCACCGCGGGCTCCATGACTCTGCCCATTGATGATGGGATGGGGTCGACTTTGTCGCCCTCATCCACCAGCTGCACCGTGCCGGGGACGCTGTAGGACACCTTGCCATCCGCGTCCTGGGTGACAATGTCGTTGATGCACTCCGCAACCTTACTCACATCGGTTGTTGCCCCGATAGCCGGCACATCCTTGCGGATGGCTTTATCCATGGGAGGCCCAGACATGTTCTTCGTGACATCGGTGGCATCGGCTGCGTCTGGCGCTTCCCACCTTTTGTCTTCCTCCGTCACCGGCATCGGCTTCGCGATCTTCGGGTTCATGAGCTGCTGCTTCTCGCTCTGCCATTGCTTGAAGACATCCTGGAGAACGGGATTCGATGTGTTGACACCCGTGTCATAGTGCTCAAACCTGACAAGGAGTGCCTTCACGCATGGATTGAGCTTCTGAGCGATCCACTCACTTTTGCTGACATTCAATGTTGCGTGCAGAAAGCCCACGAACAATTCGCGGTTGCGGAGATCCTCGCTGGCGTGGAATGAGTCATACATCTCCAGCCGTTCAACAAGAGGACTCGCTGACTGCACTTGGAGGTTTCGGCTTCGAAATTCCTCAAACATGGCAGCATTGAAGTCGTTGTACGCAGAGTGGAGCTGGAAGAGATCCGCCTCCACTCCAATCACCTTCACAAAGCCAATGTCCGGCTCGCCCGTGAGGGCGGCTAACACATCCGCAGCTCGCCTAACCTTCCCAGCAACCGCCTCCGTAGTCACAGTTGGGTCTCTGTAACCAAACCCAGGACCAAGCCGAGTGGGGATGCAACCCCACTGGCCGGAGATCTCGTTACCGCACCACCAACACACCACGTCGATGAGCAGCCCCGGATGGTTAGTGCGAAGGTCTTTGATGCGCTCCTCCACTTGCCACACGATCCAGGCCAACGTTTTGCCCCAACACATGGTGTAGCGGCATTCGGACCATCCCAGCATCATACTTGTCAGGCCCACTTCTTCACCCAAGTCAGCTTTGACGAAAACTCCTCTTCTGTTCTTCTTGCACAAAGCTGTGGAGCTGTCGCTAACGAGGATGAGGGCACGCTTCACCTTGGGGCTCAACCTTGCGGTTGGCTTCAGTTTGGCCATCCCTTCGTCACTGAGGTCTGCCAGCTGGCGAAGCGCCGAACACGACGTGTCCGCGTGCGTCAAAGACACACCAGCCGCGACCTGGGTGGAAACACAGCCATAAGCCGACTCCAACATGCGATACTCCGTCTCGGCGCCGAGGGAAATGATGTCGCTGTTGAGCGCGGCTGATTGGAGGATGGTTTTCATGGCCTTTACGACCCCGGTGCGGTCGTCCTCCCCAGTGTTTACCCTGCAGTACTCGTCGCTCACAACGATGGCTGCCATAGTGCGGGTAGGGATCGATGCTGTAGGCAATACAGATGGGGCAGAGCCAGCTGATGTTGCAATAGTTGACGTGCACACAAAGGAAGTCATGACTACTGGGTCAAGGCTTGCAGCTTGTTGTGTGTTTGTGCACTCGAGCGATGTGTGTGCAAACGAATCATTTTCGAAACGAGAACACGGTTTTGAAAGCCTTCCCCCCTCATCGAGAGGGGAACTAACACATAACTGCAAACAAACCATTGCTTTCTGAGCTGGAAGCCTCAACTGAGCTGGAGGCAAGAGGAATTTTGATTGATGCAGAGTTTGCTTTTGCTTTCTGTTGAACTTCTGGTACCCCCCTGACGAATAGGCGATGAACGAATGTCTTTCACCAGTGTAGGGTTGTACTCCATGTCTTGTAGAGGGATGTAACAGAGTGGGCTTTCGGTATGTATTGCAGTTGTAGCCTTTGTGGACTTTGCCATGATCATCAATATAATTTGCCGGCGGTCCCAATTGGCTAGCGCCTTCAATCCACAGTGTCCCCTCTGTATAAGTACCGAAGGAGAACGTCAGATTGTACGATTCTTTTTGGTTGTACTTATCCGTGTGAATACGGGCCTTGCCATTGAAGTTGAACACGAACGAAGTCCATGTAAACCCTTTCGGCGATGATCGCTTCACAAATTCATTCACATACCTGCAAATCCATGGGCATTGTTTTGTGCGATTGGTAATACCAAAGCATCCACCATGGACCCAAGCGCCGAATACCAGGTATTTGGATACTGTCTCAGAAGCCATAACATAAACGATCGCGGTTTTGCCAATGAAGCTTTGAGATTGGTACGTATAAGTCCAGCTAGCTTCTCGAAGGTCTTGTAACTGTAGTCGTTAGAGTCGAACAATTGCTTAGCGAAGTCCTCGACGGCCTTTGCTGCATCCGGAGCTGCTGCTACCGAAACCTTGTTGTCGACCTCGATCTTCGACTCGGGCTTGCACCCGGCTATTTTCGCGCTGGTTGTATGTCCAATGAGCTTCAGGGCGTGCATCCACTTGTTCTTTTCCGTGAACGGCTTCGTGAAAACATCCGCCACTTGTTCGGCTGTACCAACATTCAGTAGCTTGAAATGCCCATTCTCGTACTGCTGTTTTAGCCACGAAAAGCTTACCCTCTGTGTCCGATCAGTATGTCGTAGAACACCAGCTTGCCCTAGCAACAGAAGAGTGATAGTTGCTTGGTTGTCCTCCAAATGTCTAACCTCAAAGCTTTCGGGAAGTTGGACACAGAGGCTGTTGATGTCTGCAATTGACAACCCATCTGGTCTATTGGACCCATACCGAATCTCATCAAGTTCAGGGTCAATCCGTGCAACAATTGAATCTACCCTCTCAGCCCTTGGCTCGGCCTTGCGGCCGGCATCTCCACGCCAGAGGAAATACCAGAGGCTCAGGCACGGTAGACCTTCGGCACGTAAACCATGGTTTGCCGCTACGACTTCAGACTCAGTAGAACTCATCGTGATCGAAGTTTGCTTTTTGCTGAAGGCATTGAGTGGGAAGTACGTGTTTGGACCAACCAAGAACATCGCACACCCAGTTGTTGACTTTGAGTCAAACTCACCCGCGAAGTCGGAATCACTGAACAACCAAAGCCTGCAATCCATGATGCTGTCACCTATGAAACCACTCATTGTGACATCAAGCGAAGAGTTGATGTAGCAAACCAACCTATGAAGTCCCAAATCGCAATCTGGACTCCACTTGGTCACCCTCGACGCCAAAGACTGCGTTGCCCTTAATAGATCCCATCTTGCCATGCGAGCAGCAAATAAAATTTTCATCAACACCTTGCTTGCGATAGGTTGCAACCGCCCTGCCTTTTCCCCCTCAGATGCCGTTGGCAATGCCACACGGAGCTCATGGAAGGGAGTCGCAGCTGGTTTCAGGGTTTTGCGCTCAACTTTGGCAAGTTCACAATAACGCTCAACGCAAGAATCAAGGAAGTCCTTCATGTCATACGTGATGCGTGTGACTGGTTTCGTCATTGCACCAGGCTTCGATTTCTGATCTTGCGAAAGGGAAATGAACTTGCTTTGCTTCGCCTCTTTCTTAGCCTCGGACTTGTTACGAACCGGCTTACCCTTGCGGGTAGCTGCAACTGCCAGCTCGAAATCAGACTGTTCCCGGCCTGCGAGGTCGAAGTAGGTTTCGCCATCCCACCAATCCTGGAGGCAGCGATCGCGCGATTGGTTGCAATTATCAACAACAACTTCTTCCGACTCACCCTTGCGGGTGGCTTTAGCCACCACCGTGTATCGCCGAGGGCCAATCCCCGGGAACATTCTAGCATCATCCTCGTTAGGGACATAAAGTCTCTTGCGAGGGTAGCGGTGATGTCGGATTGCTAGGAGATTCTCGGGGTCAATGTCCCAATAGTCTTCCTTTCTAGCAGGAGTTGCAGCTGAAGCTTCGGGTTCAAATACATGATGGAACGGATGTGCTTCCTTGGGCAGCTTGAGGTTGTGTTCTTCCTTGTGCATGCACCCAAAGTATCTACCAATAACTTCCGGAAGATCCATATCAATGACACTCGAGATAAGGTCCCATCCCTCCTTGATAGAGTCCTTAGGTCCAGCGAGCTTAAAGTCATCGACGTAAACCACTAAAAGCAGCTTCTTCTTCGGGTGGTAGAATACACTCTTCCAAATGTCCGTCAGTACCGCCTCGAACCCAACTTTCTTCAATTCAGTCTCGCAGTGATGCTCCCAAATACCCCCTGAATCGGGGTGTCCATAAAGCGCCAATTTGAGCGGGACAACAGGATTATTCATACCCTGCCAAGCCTTTGGCCAGCGATTGCGAGGCAATCTCACCCAGGTGGCAACTCCTTGGAACAATGCTTGAGTGTATGCTTGCTTGGCGTCTGCCTGCTGAATGACATAGCCAGGTTGGGAGCCGAAGACGTCTAGGATTTTCCCCGCTTCCATAGATGCGGGACTGCTTGACATCTCCGCGAAGAGCGCCTGATCGGCATTTTCATCAAATACTCTATTTCCCTGGAACACCGAACGTCCCTTATACTTGCGATTAGGGTCACCTTCTTTCAGCTCGGCTCCCTTTAGGGTACCAATCTCAAAAACATTGCCAAAATGTACCTTGGTCTGAGATTTCTTAGCTTCGTTGGCAACCGATTCGAACTCCGTAACCTTGCCTTGTACCCAGCAGCCTTTGTCAACCAATTTCTGCCATTCCTTGTCCATAGCAGCCTGCGCCTTAGGGTTCGATGCGATCTCCTTAGACGACAGGACCTTGGCGACAACAGCATACATCTCATCTGCGATCTGGAAAAGCTTCTTGTCGTATAGCCCTTTAAGTCGTTCCCGATGTTCCTCGCTACACCCATGTAGGACTGGCATTGCAGGTACCACCTTCACGGCTTCGCGGTACAGTGCCTCATTCTCCTCATGTAGCTTCTTCTCATGTTCTGCGATTGCTGTTGCCCTTTGTCTTTTCGACATGGACTTCCATGCAGTATGATCGATAGCGTTGGGGCGGTTCCTGTTGTTCTCTTTGACCAAACATTCCCCACTCCACACATAACCATACGGTGGTTCTTGCGCTGCTACTGCTGCGCTTGACTTCAGCTTCTGCTTCACAGAGTACGGAACATCATCAAGCAATGATACACAGGAAACAAACTTTGACTCACCCTTGCGGGTGGCTTCTTTCGCGTCCTTCGGCGGAGGATCTTTATCACGATCAGGACCAAATAGCTCTGGGAACATTTCATCCAGGTCTTCACTAAGCTGTTCCTGAATTGTGGCTTCGTCGTATCCCCCCCCTTCCTCCAGAGGAGGATGCGGGTTTTGCTCGTCAAGGACGTTGTGATGTTGTGCATCAAGGCTTGGTGGTTTGTCCAAGGCAGGCTCTTGCAACAAAGGAAACTTAAAGTCACCATCGGGTAGCTCCAGTCTCTTGGTGCGAAACACACGTAGGTCTTCATTTTCCAACCGGCTTCGATGTTGTGTAGGGGAGCAACAACGTACTCAAGCTTGAAGATAAAACCAGGTTGAATGTGATACCCAAGGAATATACCTTCAATCCCTGTGCCAGAAAACTTGGATCGTTCAGGCTTGCGTTGCTTCTTCGGGGCCCAGTAAAGGACCTTCACTCCAAAGGGAATGCGCATGCCGTTGAACTTCTCACCATACCTGATTTCCCACGGAATCTGACCGTTGTCAATCCTCGCAGTGATGTTAAGACACATTGCATGATGTTGCGATGCAAGAGGCCAGTAGCGATCTGGGAGTCCTGGTTGCACTAAATTGGCCCGTGTGCCTTCCAAAATGGTTCTGATTTCTCGCTCGATTACGGCCTTGTTTTCGTTCACATACTCCCTAGAAGTGTTGTGACGAGCGCGAAGCTGCCTGGCCGCAAAGTCAAACTCCAACGCATTGTCGGAATATATAACCTTTACCTCATCATCTGTACCAAGGAAGTGCAACATGTCTTCGTAACACTGCTCACCAGACTTTGTCTTGGAAGGATACACGTATCTGAACTTAGAGTACACGTCCTTAACAACATGAGCCACGGTTTCGTCTTGGAACCCGTAATCCTTGGTATCAGCAGTCACGATGTGATCTACCGTGATGTGGTCACCGAACGATTTACTGTAAATTGTAGAAGATCCACCAGATTTCCGCGCCTGTGGCGCATACATCTTGGCCCTTTGACAAATCGGGCAGAACGGATTCTTTGGTCTATGGGTAAGTCGATGTTCCAAAGACACAGCCTCAGCCCTCAAGGAAGCTTCGTCCTTCTTAGACTTTGGCATAGTGTATGGCTCGGCATCGCTGTCGGCTTGCGCCTCAACTTCCCCTTCGGGCAAAGCAAACAATGTGATAGTCGCAATAGTCCCTTCAGGTACTTCCCCATAGATTCCATCCAATTCATCAATGTTGACCGAATCCTCCAACAAAGACCACACGTCATCCTTGAATCCCCAAGTAGTCCGGATTCTATACCTCGGGAACTTAGGAGCCGGTGTTCGAAACGTCTTTGGGAAATGAGCCACCTTAGCAGTGGGGCTGCCGTTGATGACCGTCCAACCTGCCTTTAGCAGTTGTCTCGTTTCCACCCCAGGAATGGGAGGAATACAATTCGCCATCTTTTCGATGGGATCTTCCGCCGCGCCAGCTGGACCTTCAGGTTCATGTTCGTGCTCTCCTCTAGCTGGTGCGGCATGCCCTTGCGGGCAGCTGTTTACCGAAAACCCGAATCAGATTTAACAGAGGTCGGTGCAACCTTGCTGCCATCAGACTCTGAGGACTTTGCCGCTAAGCATGCCATCAATGGTCCTCGGTCGCCAAATACGGGAACATTGCCTCGGAGTTGGCAAATCATCTTCTGACCGTCTGGGCAAATGAAATATGGCGCCTCACCCGTAGGCCAGTGGAAAGAGAACCCCTGTTCCATGCACTTCTTTCCTACAGAGCAAACTGCAGGTGTGTTGGGGAGCTCAACGAACTGCAATGGGTTCCTCAATGACTCAATGTAGACTTCGTGCTTCGTCTCAGCGTCTACTGGTCCGTTAGCAGTGATCAAACTCACTGGATTGGAAGCAACCTTCTTAGCCTTGCCCTTGAAATGGGCCTCCAAATCAAATTGACTAATCAGGTCTTCCTCGCTACCGGTGTCTGCGATGATTTCGAGGTTCTCACCTGTCACCGCTGCTGCAGCAAGTTGGGGCAGGGGAATTGTTTCTTTGCAGTGCTTGCAGAATCCTTCTCTACCCTTACACCTGTAGCTACACTTGACCCGGACCTTAAGCCTCATACCGTTCACTGCGGATTCCAAGTGACGGGCGTTCTGCAAGGCTTTTTCGGTGTCCTCCGGGTCAGATGGCGGGCATTTGTCCGTCGTCCTGTATCTGAAATCATACTTGCGCTTCTCTGTGACGAACTTCCACCCTTCGCCTTCAAGTGGGATGTCAATGATTTCTGGCCTCAAGAACTGAACCTTTTTGGCCTTTGTCTTCACGGCATGGCCCTTGCGGGCTGCTACTGCGTAGGACTTCCCAGCACTGAATCCCGTTCTTACAGGTGCCCTTGGGATAGAATATGCATGGAATCTTGGGGGTGTCTTTCTTATCCCCGCCTTTGCCGCCTTTACCTCCGCCTTTTCTCGAAGGGCTTCGTGGAGGTGTTCTGCCCCTGGTCTGTTCTGGAGTAGGCTTCACATGCTTGTATGGGCACTTGTCACCTCGTGGGCATTTCCCACGCTGGAAAGCGAAGCAGGGTTTGTCCTGGCTTCTGCCGCGAGGGGTGTTCGGGGTGTCAGAAGGAGCAGGGGCACCAAACCTAGCACCATGAGCTTTGGCGATTGCAGTCCTGTTCTTGCGGGTCCTATCTCTAGCCAACAGCTCCTTAACGCATTTGACCAAGTAGTCATAAGTGCGCTGTTCCGTTCCTTCCTTAGCCCTGTCGTAGACTTCCAGATCAAACTTGAGCTTGCTAGAATTGCGAAGCTGACGACGTAGAATATCTCTCAATGTAGTCTCCTCGGGTTGGTGATTCAATCCCGCGATGACCGACTCCCAGTTGTGAATGAACGTGCTCAGGTCGTCACCGCTCAACTGGACTTTGAGAAGATCTTCCACAGAGTAGAGGGAACCTGCTTCTTCATTGGTCTTAAAGTAGTGTTCGAACATCAGTAGAACTTGCCTACCGCGAACGGCCCTACCAGCAGCTGCCTCAGACTCCTTGTAGTTGATGATCTGTCGCCCAAGATCACCCTTTGCGACCCTCGAAAGTGCCGAAAGTATCTTCGTGTCTAAAGTGAGGAATTTACCCGTGTCCCTCAATCGGCGTCCCTCGAGTAAACTTCTTGAACCCATTTGAATGCCTCATCGGGTCTGTCCGATGCCGCCCGAACTGCCTCTCTAACGGTGATCTTCCAACTCCTGTAAGTCTCCGAATTGGGGAAGTCGGGTAGCTTCACAGTCTCAGCTTCCTTAGCCTTGGGTTTGTCATCATCAGGCTTCTGGATAACTGACTTGAGTGCTTCATCAAGGAGTGTTTTCAGTGGTGTCTGCCGGTTTTCTGTTCTCACTCTGTTCAGCAGTAGATACCTCTACACCGGGGCCCTTGGTATTATCAGGCTCACCAATGTCATACCGTTGAGTCCTTCCCAAAACCGTCCGAAGCTGCGCAGGAATTTCCCTGGGATTCGGAAGGGTCGGTATCCATGAATGGCTAGGACCCTGAACAAGCGGCGCTGCGGCACCACCTTGCGGTGGGCTTGGTTGAAGCTTGGAGCTCTCACTGGGATCAACTTTCACCGGCACGGCACCACCTTGCGGTGGGCTACTCTCTGCTGTCGACAAGACAGACCTGAGTGAGTCGACCTCAGCTATAAGCTCCGCATTCCGATCCTGCAGGTCGTCAACCAAGCTATCGTACTGCTGTGCCTCAGAGGTTAGCCTATGGTAGCATTCGTTTTCTTCCCATTGCAGCTTTTCCTCAAACTCAAACCCTAAGAAGGCAATGAGCTCACTGTGGTTTTCTTCGACACTTGCGCGCAATTCCGCGAAACGGCGTTCATGCTGTCTGTTTTCCGCAGTGAGCGTGCGTGCTGCTGCTTCCAGCTCGGATCGATGTGCATCAAACTGCATAGCCATAGACCTTTCATCATGACTTTCCCTTTGTGTGCGTGTCAGCTGTGCCTGCAGCTCGTTGGCTGATTGTCGCTCTGCTCGGGCGATTGTCTCTAGCACTCGGACTTCATTGTGAAGTTGCCCCACCAACAGGTGTGTTGATTGGCTCACAAATGCTAGCTGTTGACGATGATTCGCATCCGCAGTTGCCTCTAGGTGTGCAATGTATGCGTTGGCTTCGGCGTACACGTTGTCCAATGCAAAGCGGTGTCTCTGTTCCGCACGAAGCTCCAAAGCACTTTGGATGCGGGGGTCATTCAAGAACACATTCACCTGAGTATTCTCCTGCAACAACTGCAAGAAGTACTGGTTGGCTTCCTGCTCCTGTCTACCACCAATACCACCGTCCACGTTGTTGCCCGTGGCCGCTATGAACGGCACAAGATCCATTACGGAGCGAACTACGGCTGATAACCTGAAGTTTTCCAGGCTACCAGCTAGACACGGCTTGGTACCGGTAAGTCAACCCTGTGGACCTTTTCCAATGGGGACTTGGGCCGAGTATGCGTCGCGTAAAGACATAGCTAAGGACCTCGGAATAGCAATGGAGGCAGGGTAAAATCTACAGATCTACCGTCTCGAAATGAAGAAGTCTGAAATCTTGTGGCCTCATATCAGTTTGATGGGCAATTCCCACCAAGCTTCAGATCTTATAACATTCACCGGAAATGCTCGGAAAAGACTATTGTTGGTTACAGTGTTCGACAGTCTGCTTGCCAAGAGTCCCCATTTGTAACCTGCGGCGATGTAAAGGGGCTAAGGGGCTTAGGGCTTAGGGCTGGGGGGGCAGGGACCAGGTAGGCATCGGCTCACCATGCTTCGGCACAAAAGGTGAAAGCTCCTCGCAGCCCGGGCCGCAAGCTGGCCTCGGAGATTCTTGAACATCGTGGACCTCCAGATCCATGGGCTTTGCACGGTCACCTCCGCCTCGCCGACGTTCGTGTACGAGCGGAGGTACTGGATCATTATCCTAGGATGCCGCGATGCCACAGGAAACCCCTTTCTTTCGCGGGGCCTGGGGCCTAGGGGCGAGCCCCCGTGTGGAGGCACTCTCTCCCTTCTTCTTCACCACAGTCAAGGGAGCAGAGGAACACCACCCCGTGTGAGCGATCCGTTGGCAGCAGAGCGAACGGAACCAGAACGAAACACAAAACCGCTAACCTCAGTGTGCAAAGCAACCAGCTCGCCGCGGCTCCGACCCTCAGGCTGTGTGGGCTACCCCCCGATTGGGGGCACCGGGTTTCTGTGTCGTTTTGGCCTGGACTGTGCTGGAAGCATGGTGCTTGCAAGCCGAACCAAGAAACATCCGCAGCTAAACATCTGCACACACTACGATATACCACCCTTCCAGGTTCGTTACAGCAAGGCTTGGCATGTCCCTAGCCCAAGACCCCCTGCCGCTTTGGCTTGCATCCGAAGTGTTGCGTTTTGACATCTGCTGGATGGCTTACAATGGTTTCCTCTCAAAGGTATGCAAGGGAACTATAACAGGCACCTCAAATTGCCGACAGTGCAATGAAGCAATTTCCCCCATGTTGGCGACAAAATATAGGCAAGCTGCTCGAAACTTGCAATCACTATGTCGCGCTTGACAGTACCAAACCCCGGTTGTCTCGGAGCTCAATAGAATTGACCAAGGACAGAACCCTAAACCCGGTGGGTTTACCCACGCCCATGTGAAATCTGTGACTCCACCAACTTGCGGCAGAGCCACATGGGCTTGCTGCTGAATTTGAGATCGAAGACGAGTTCCTCGCCGTCTGTCGTGTTGGAAATCCAGCCTGGCGAGGAAGCAATTTCTCCTCGGTGTGCATATCTTGTTTGGCACGGCTCCGGATCGCTGCATACTCATTTTCCGATACTTGCCGGTACATTCCCGTCACGTTTCAACTTCCCTGGCCGCCCTACAAAGCTTTCGCGGCTGCATGCGTGATGCTCACCACTCAAACTACTGCACGACACTGGAGACCACTGCAGCGCTCTGCTGCCGGAGATGGGCTTGGGAATGCACAAGTTTGAAGAATAGCTCGGGGCAGGAGGTCCTGGATCACCATTTGGTCGAGGGGAATGTTGGCGTCTAGACTGCTTGTGTTAGCGTTCCTCCGTATCACCGATCCCAGCTCTGCGTCCTTCATGAGCTACAGCGGGCCTGGCTTGTTCCGCCGGTCCTCGAAAAGGCTCCATTCGCCCTTGGGGCTCTGCCTGGGCGTACCTGCCAGAGCCCGAATTTCGGAGGTTGGGGTTAGAGAGTTGCGTCCGAGGATTCGGATACGTGGCTCATGGATTGGTGGAACCGTGCTCTTCTTGGGCAAACTTGTGCGTTGGGCAAGACATGCTAGGACGGCATTAGAGAAGAGCGACAAACGAAGCCAGAAGAGCACCCTGAAGCCCAGTCTGCAAGGGGCACTGGCACCCGGAGATCTCGCAATGTGCTGCGACAGCGGAAAGATGCAAACAGGTGCTGTCGCCTCACAAACAGCTGACACGGGAGCCTGAACGGACTTCTCAGTGCTCTGCAAGGCACTGGTGCTGGAAAGCAGCCAGGTCCGCTTTTAGCACGGGCTTGATCCACTCAAGGTCGTCCTGAAGCAGAGAGGCAAGCTTCGCTTTTGGACGGACGGGGGCTCAAGTTCTCGAGCTTCGGGGTTTCCTTAGAGCTGAGTGTTTCGGCGCACTGAACTTGACTGTCACCTGCAGCATCTGCATCCTGGAACCCTCTTGACTCTTCACGCTCCAGATTCAGCTGATTCGTGATGGTTGAGGGGGCTGGGCCTGGAAGCATCGATAGGAAGTGGGAAACCTTGGGTGCTTGGAACCATGCGCAACCAGCGGAGTGGCATTCCCAGGAGCTCCGAAGACCCTGCAGCCTGTCAAACCGTGCTGCTCTATTCAATACATTGCGAATGATAAATCATAGTGATACCCGATGAACCTTGATAATACTGCTGCTACACCACTTATTGCTATTAGCGCTGAGTTTCGCAATGCTGCAGTGCGCAGTATCCTCACGATTCACATGTTCGATCATTATCACCTGCAGAAAAGACTGTACGAAGAATACGAATTAGAATAATTAGAAACATCAACCCGCCCCCCTCCCGCCGGATCTTCTTGCCTTCAGATCGGGTGAAGGCGTCCTTGGCCAAACGGCAAAATGCTTCGATCGGATTGGTGCGGCTTCCACCTACATTACTTCCCACTGATCACTCGGCATCAAAAGTCCCAAACAGCCAAGCGTCCGATGCTGGGGAAGAAAGTCTTCGCCAAGGAGTCGCGCTGTCTCCTGGAAGCGGCTCAAAGGCCGCAAGAAGCCCGCGTCTTGCACTGGGAAACCAAACCAACAGGCGCACCACAGCACCAAGGCGGGCAGTTTCGGTCAGCTCGCCATTCGAACTCCTGCTAAAAACCACCTTTGCGACTCACATGTGCAGCATCCTCTTCGGGAAGTCTTTCCAGCTTCTCCAACTGTTTGTTACCTCTGCCATCAAGGCTGCACTCAAAGACAAACACGACCCTGATGATACTGGCAAAATCGCAAGGGAAGGAAGAATCTTGGTGAGTTGACCGGCGTCATTTTCGGCTGCTCGCTGGCGGGGCCCAGCGGGCAGAGCCGAAAAGACCCCCCCTTTTCATGTCTATGCATGGAAGGTTCGTCTCCTACAAGCCGTTGGGCCTTCACCAGCGAAGCCAAGCTACACCAGTACGCAAGAACGTCGGCGAAGTATGCATGGGCCTCGCAGGGAAAAGCCCGGCTTCGGGCATCTTAATGGAAGGTTGCTCCACGAGGCCAAGAAGCTGGGAGTCTGGAAAAATGGGGCTGCAGACTTCCTTCGGAACTCTGCCGCACTCTAAACGGCCCTACAGTAAACCCTCCGTGCGAAAGCCTGCCACGTCGGATGACGGGTTTTCCAGCCCGGCCACAGCTCCTCAGGGGCTTGCGGTAGCTTGCAAGACTTCACGGTTTTTGTATTGCTTTCCTCCTAAATGCGGGACTGCGAGTGTGGCGTTTGGCTGGAGCTTCCTGAAGTCCAAGACGGGTCGAAAGTGCGTTCTTGCGGATTCATCTCGGAGGCGAGTTGAGCGAGAGAGAAAGAGGCGGACGGAGAGGGAAGAGAGAGGGAGAGGGAGAAAGAAACAGAGAGAGAGAAAGAGAGCGAGAGAGACAAAAGAAAAGCGCGAGTGCGAGAGAGAAGCAGAGAGAGTTCCTGCGGCAAGGATGAAGCAAGAGTCGAAGACAGGAAGCCTAGCAAAGCCTAAGCGCGACTGCTGCCGACTCGACGTCCTCCACAACTCGGGCCTCTTTGGCATACCTTGGGTCTGAGTAGAGTTACGGAATCATGAATCGAAGAACAACGCGAATAACCAAGTTTGATTGCGGGTATTGCATTAAGGTTTTGGCGTCCCTGAGTGTCAGGTGCCGGGGTCTGCTACTTGCTTTCAGTTGAGGAGCCATTTACTTCAAGGCTCGGTCACTTGTCCTTCGCCCGCAGCGGAGCTGTGACGGCCTCTCTGACGCAGCCAAAGGACAGCTCCAGAATCGCCTCGTAGTTCAAGACGGGGACGCCGTAATGCTGGCCCAGGATGCCTTGGTGCCAGGGTTCAGGGGCTCCAGGGCCTTGGATGGCCTTGGGTCCCTGGGTCTGCAGATGCTTCAAGGATTCGGGATACTGCGCTTTGGGAGCTCAGCGCCCTCCGCTGAAACCCTCTCCCCGGAGCCCCACCAGTTCAAGAAGATCCTGACGCAATAGCGCCCACAAACACAGACCTCATGTGGATGAAACTTTTGTGTGTTGTCGCATGTTGTCGCGGCTTGTCCGTTCATCTCGCTCACAAATGCCCTGTGCCGCAGTAGATTTCGTGGCCGGTCTCAACTGTTTCACACTTTTGCAACAAAGCTCAGCGGAGAGAGCAGGATAACTTGCTGCGGCTTCTGCAGACACTGCGATGGCGTCATGGCCAGGTCACGAATTCCTTCAAACAGTCTCGCATCGATTTTTGCAGCTTTCTCGCCGTCGATCATGTCCCGATTCCTGAGATCGCGAATACCACGAAGGAAGGCTCTTGCTTGAGACTGTGACACTGCACAGTGGTAACCGGCATGGCGATGTTACGAGTCAGCCACAGTGCGAACGAGTTGCCAGAAGACTACGAAAAGGGTCTTCGGAAGAAAGAGATGACAAGCACGGACAAACTCCTCCCAGAGGTGGGCTGAGCAAAGTCAGGAACAACCGAGCAGAAAATGTGAAGAAGCTCATGTCACATGTCTGACTCATATCGCATCGCAGCTCCTCCAGTTCTTTGCCTGTCTTGGAGATGCCTCACCAAAGCAGGCTCAAAGAGCGACAACAACTCCCGTCGCTTGTAGAGCAACTCCAAGGCAGAAGGTGTGTGCGTGTGTGTGTTCTCCACTGCAGGTCGCATCTCGTGCCCCAGCGGGGACAGAGCGAACACGGCCACACTATTCATGGCATCCGGTCGAGAGGTCTCGAGGGATTGTGACTCAGATAATTGAATTCGCAAAACCACATCCAAGATGCCCCAACCATTCTGGCTGAAGTCCAGCAGCATCATGTCAAGCGGCTCTGTTGCTGCAGTTTCGCTCCTCGGTTGACGGATGGATGCGAGCTTAAGGCTTCTTGTTCCTGGTAGTCCCTTTTGATTCTTCTGATCAACACCATCGTCATCCGTGGCAATCATCTGGACCTTCGGCAAGTGACTGCACCTTTGCACGCGACGGTCCTTGTGTGAAGGTTGTCCCTTTTGTGGAATCGATGTCGTAGAATCTGTAAGCTGCGACTGGTCTAACGAAACCTGGCTAGTTGCTCCTGGCTCTTCCACCTCACCACGCTCTGCAAATTGGGGCTTGTGCATCTGGATCAGGGCGCTTCTGGTGCACGCCCCTCGTATTTCAGCCGGACACAAACTAATACTGCTTGCCAGTGCTGCGCAGGATCAGCACCATGTCAGGCAGCGCGCATGCCATATCGCAGCCCCCGCGTCCCCGGTTGTCCAACCTTAGTGACTTCGGATGCAACGCCATTGGAGAAAAGACTTTAGGGTACTTCTGAGATTATCTGCGCGGAACTGGAAGCTCTGAACCTTCCACACGCACTGAATCGTAAAACCGGCTAAGAAGGAATTGCTCCGACAAGCGATCCCCAAGTTCACATTGTTCTCGTTTACCTGTGTAGAGCTGGATTACAAGAAGGATCCCCACTTCTTGCAGCACTACCCCTACAATTGCTGCTACCAGGGTGATCTGCATTCGCAACACCTCCCGAGTCCCCTCATGTCCAGCCACAGGCACTCGACCCTTGCCTGGAAGGCAGTGCGGAGGTAGTCCGCGAATTGTGCCGACCAGGAACCTTGGTCTGACTTCTTGCGCTCCTATCAACAAGGCAGTACAGAGACATATGCAATGCACAACGTACATGCTCGAAGACATCCAGACAAAAAAAGGAGGGCCATCTACACCCTAACACAGGCACCAATACGACATGGCATCGAGGAGTGCTCTGCAATGCGACATGGATTCATGAATGCAATATGCATGCAGATACTTACCTTCATTGTAGATACGGAATAAGACACCGTACCCTACCCGATCATGCCGTAGCTTACCCTCTGCCGCACCCTGCCCTGACCAACTGAACCATTCTGATACCCTCACGCATGTCACTACGTTGTGCCATGAGTGTTGATTGGCTATTGCCTAGCTGCAGTATGCCGACTGCCGGTCCTGCGACATGCGACTATCTCGAAGGACCGGACAGCAAGACCCGGCCGCTCTGTCGAGAAGGATCTTAATACCTTCAAGCATCAAGCTAAAATACAAGATGACAGCACACTACTCCTTGATCAGATTGAGCCTTTCCGCATGCAATACCATCTGCCAAGCTTCAATGGTTGTTTCTGGTGTCGCAGGAAGTGCAACATCCTGTCAACTTTCCAAAGCTACTACAGGCCTAGAACTCAGACGGGCTCCGCTCGGACCCCAGGTGTCTTGGCCGCTAGTTCACCCAACATCCGGTCCCCTCCAAACATCGGATCGGGAGACCGTGAATGAGAAAGTCTCTAAATTCATCTACCAGTCCGTACGAGATGCGGGGGCTCTGTTGGGGGAGCACCCTCGGTGCCGCAGCGAATTTGAGCAGCTCCCTGTCACTTGAGCCTAGCTGAACGTTGCCCGGGCACAAACCAAACACCCTGTAGCGCCCTGCACACCACACCTTCTCCCTCCCTTCCCAAAATCCGCTGCCTTCGCCGTAGGTCATGCTCCCCCCATAGACCTGCAGCCTGCCGTATAGACGGTTGAAAGAGGAGTGGCGTCGTTGTCCAACCCGACCAGGCCTGATCGTCTGGTTTCTCGCGAGCCGGAGAAGCATGGCATAAAGCTGCGGATAGTCCTGACCTGGTGACCACAATTCTGGATTTGAGATGTGTTTAAGGTGCGCGCACGCAGGGGCTCGAAAGCAATGCCGTGTTGGCTATCACAGTCCATTTAGTCCATTTCTGGCACAGCCAATGCAAGCACAAGGATTTCCATCCCAAGATTCGCACGGCTCTAGGGCTTTTGTGTCCCTCAGAGACGTTTTGACGCTGAACCAACCAAGCCGAAGGCGCTGGCCAAGGCCTGGCTCGCTTGCAGGGCCTCGTCGCTGAGGGCCGGCAGGCTGTGAAACTCAGGCCTCCGCTCTTCTTTGCGCCCTAAGCTCTCTGAAAACGTCACTTTGAAGACTACTCAACTGCTCCTTCTGGAGATCTCTCCTGAGGTTTAGAGTTCAGAGTTCGGAGGTCTAGGTCCCAGGTTGCAGCTCGAGGGGCGCTCGATACACCAGGCTGTTGCCTGGACCTGCGCTCCTATGGCTGGGCAGCCGCGGCAGTTGTCGCACGGCAGCTGAGAGTTGAGGAGTTGGCGTCGCAGGTGCGAAAGACGCAGGAGCAGCAGTGGGCGCTGCCCCGACGGGGTGGCTTGGGGTGGGGCTCCGGTCAGGAATTGCCTCGACCTCGTCCGCAGTGCTGCCGGCTTCCGGGAAGGCGTTGAGCTGGTCTTGGCTTGGTTTGCTTGGAGTATCGGAAGCTTTCGTCCCGAAACTCGCTGGTTGTGGAGATTGGGGGAGGTGGACCACCGTGCCGGAAGCGGCCAGCACAGCTTCTTTGGCAGCAAACTCGGCCTCTGTGAGCAGGCCATGTTCCTCGCTATCGGTCAGTGGCAACAGAGTGGTGGGATTCGGTGTAATGTGGCCGCAGGTAGTCTGCTCGAATACATGCTCAAAGATCGTCCATCAAGCACACAGAAGCGAAGGCCACAGCCGCTATGCCACCGTCCTTCAAGATCTTCAGGGCCTCCATGGGCGAGAGTCGAGATCCATCCTCTGCATCCGAGCTCTGCCCCAAGAAGGCTCGATCCATCCTGAGTCACAGATCTTTCTGCTGATCCGCCCTCTCGCTTCAGCACATACTGGAGGCGAAAGGACCAAATGGCAACTGACATGCGACAACCCTGGTGATTCCGAAGGGCAGGTTGCCGCTGAGGACCAACAATCCCAAGCCGACGCCAGTGAGGGTGCACAGCACATTGCCTTGGCTTTATCTGAAGTCACTCAGTTCTGGAAACCAAGCCGCGACCGAAAAGCCCAGCAGCTCAGCCGCCAGAACTCCCGAATGGGAACAAAGTCCCGACTGCCTCTAAATAACCCACAGAACAATACACATCTCCCAATATGTGCCATGTGACCGTGGGACGTGCGGAGCAGCGGCGACCTTGGAACGAAAACACCATCGACGCTTTAGCTATAAATGGGAACTTGAGGTAAAGTTGATGTTACCACTGTGCTACCATTCCAACCTAGCGTTGTCCACAAACAGGGGGCGATCCAGTGCAAGATCGCTGCAGCTTCACCCACAAAATGCCGACCTTTCGAACCGAACAGATGACCTGATGGATATTTCTTTCATCATCTGAGATCACACCCATTTCCTTATCAACCCAGATGACAACCGATTCCGCAATGATTGGCATGTCAATCATGAACGCTGCACAACTTTCGACATGTACACACAAACTAGCATATCTGAATGATCAAAGTCACATGCAGTCGGGCGCATTTGCAGTGAAGCATGGACGTGCAAGAGTTTGTGGCTGTGTTCTGTCTGATCCAAGCACAGTTATCCGACCCATGTGCTGGTTGCAATATATTTCATCTCATTCGAGCTACAAAATCCAAGTCTCTCACGACCAAATCATCAATTAAACGCCATGTTTGCCATGAAGCCGTCTCCGCACAAATGATGTCTGCCCCTCGTGATGAAGCTGCTTGCTCTTGCCACACCGTCGCATCATGTCCATGCAATCCGGCTGAGCTGCTGATTTCTCCACAGGCAGAAAAAATCTGTGAAGCATGCCAAAACTAAGAATTCGCTGCTTGCGCATGTGAACATGCGAAAGTGAAACAGAACCTGCAGGTCGTTTCAAGCTTGTTTTGCTGGCCGAGTTAGCCTGGTCAATCCTGCGATGCAAGACGCTGTCGACTTTTTTCAAAACTGGAGCAACTTCGACCGAAGGAAGATGTAATTTCGTCCACGCGGGGGAGGGGGTTGGCTCGGTTTGGCTTTGCCGTGTCTTTTTGGTGGGCCACGTCTACAAGCCAAGCCAAGCCCAAACGAACCGAGAAGAGACAAGCCAAGCCGCATTTAGTGAAAAAATAACCGGGCCGAGGCAAAACATGTTTTTTTTGTAATTGTTTGTTGCAGCTTGTCTTGGCTCGCTTTAGCATGGTTTCGCTGCCTGTTTTTTTTTTGTGAAAATCATATGTCATAGGTACCTTTTGATTTTTTGTTAAGATTCGCTCCGCTTCGGTTTGGCTTGGTTGCGCTGTGTTTTCCTTGATTTTTCCTAAATACGGCTCGGGATATTTCGTTAAAGTGCAGCTCCATCTTGGTGCAATCCGGTTTGGTTTGGTTGGGTTGTTGTTGGTGCGGTTTTTCCTTGTCGATTCTTTTTTGTTTTTTGTGAGTGCGGCTTGGTTTGGCCTGTTCTTCCATACTGTGCGTTTTTGTTTCCAGGGTGCTGCTCGGCTAAGTTCCCTCCACGTGTGGTTCGGCTTGCTTTTACACATTGTAACATATGGTAAACAAGTTCATCCATTGATTACATATTAACATACATATATACATATTGCCATAAAAACACATATACATACACACAAACATATATACATGTATAAATACTTGCATAAGCACATGTACTCACATAGACACATCGATACATATTTTGCCGTTGAGGTCGCTGCTCGAGTCGTCAAGATTGGCGTAGCTACCGAGACAGATGCAGAGCATCCGGCCACTCATGATGGCATGCCTTTGGCATTCTCCGCAAGAGATCAACTTCTCCGAGCCGCAGCCCCTGAGAGCCAAAGCGAGGGGTATAACCGAACCTACGCGACAGCGCTGTCGTCTTGTACACAGACAGCAAGATAACTACTGTGATTGATTTGTGGAAGCGAGAAGGCATCAGCTTGCAGCCGGTAGTACATCAACATAGTGTGCATTGAGTGCGAGCTGGTGAAGGCAGGGACAGCTACTCTGGATTGATGCTCAACAAAGTCTTCACGCTTGCTACAGCCATCACGGCAGCGAACTAGATGCGATACTACAAGCCCAGTCCGTCCATTGAAAGCTCATACCCCAGCCGGAAGACGCCATGCATTGATGAGGGCTTGAATGTCATTCCTCGAATCGGGGCTGAGTGTGAGTCTGCCTATTACTGGCTACACGGGACTGCCAATAAGCATGTTGCAAAGGTGAAAGTTTAAACCCTTAAACCAGTGAACCACAACGCGAGCTTGGAATCTTTTCTCACTCTGTGCTCCGCTGTCGGGCTGTGCTTGAGCCTACGTTTGACCTGCGGTGAAACACTGGATTCCTGTATGTAAATGGGCATGAGGGAAAATTGAACTATCTGTTACGCGCACGTACACAGCTTTGTCGTGTAACGTGATCCTTGTGAAACTTTTCTTACTTCTACCACTGTTTTCGCATGCTCCTGTAAGCTTGTTCTTCTCTTCTCGCACGCTTTGAGCCCTTGTTGAACATCTTTATCCTTTTCTTCCTTTGGTCTTCATCCTCAATCTTCAGATGTCCTATAGCAGATTTGCGAATTTCCACTCCACACACGATTGGCATGGACTCACTCAGATTCTAAATGCGCACTCACTTTTTCTTCACGTCGCGATTCGCGATGTAGGTCCATTCTTGCTCTTCGGCAATCTGGAATTTTGGCTTGCCTTGGCTTTTGGACTTCTTTCATCAGTTCTGCATCGGCTTTTCAGCCTTCTGTCATTGACCTTTTCACAATCGTTGTGCTCGTAGTGCTTTGACGTTGCCGTGGAACTTTTACGCGTCCTCGTGGCTTTTGCTGTGGCTTTACCCACTCTTGTCACAAGCTTCTTCCTAAAGCTTCCGTTGTGAAACATCTTTGTCTTGGGCGATTTCGCCCTCACTCTTGCTGCTGGGCGATTTCCGACCGCACTTACATATCTCCAAATCCCAAGAGCCCTTGGGTCCTTGCTTCTGTGCTGTCTGGTATTCCTGGAGACATTGTAGCACTTACAGCTGGGACTCGACGGAGTCTCGATCTTTCCTCGTCGCTATTGTTCTGTGAGATCTTCTTGCTTTTCCTGTGTTAGCTATTCAGCTCTCTGCTGAGATCCAGCAACGAACGCTTCGAACATTAAACGTGCTGTTCCATCCAGCTTACGTTGACCCGTGACTTCTAGCGTATTTCTTCTTTCAGAAAAGATCATTCAGCTTCTTCTTCCGTAAGTCTTCTGGTCTGTTGTTGCTGTTGGTCACTTCGTCTTCTGGTTGCTGAGCATCTTCTGCGCTTTCGTTAACATTATACCACTCTCGCCAGGTGGTCTCCGCATGATCGTGGATACATTCCACAACTGCACCAGTCGCATGTTGCGGTGCATACTGTATTCTGCTGTCTTGACGGGTCTTTCACCGCGGCTCTGTTTGTGCAGCTGGGTTCAGTGGCTGCTGTGCTTGTTGTTGCTCTTGCATCTTTCCAACACTCTCAAGGTCTTTCACTCAACGCTTTTCTCCGACTTTGCAAGGTGCTCTTGGCTCAGCCCGTAACTCCTTGCTGTTCTCCGACAGGATGCTCTTGATGAACCGTAACTGCAGAATCTACATTCCGCGTGTCTGGCGGCCCTGTGCATTGCCTTTTCAAGTGTCGGCCCAGCGCGGCCTGCCGTCCGTGGCTTCTCTGCAGGCAGCTACACGGCGGGTCTTGTGGGAGTGCTCCTTCACAAGCTGTGGGGCAGCAGCCACTTCCCTTCCGCGGGTTCGACCTCTGCCTCCGGGGGAGTGACGGACGATGCTTCGCTGCCAGCAGCCGTGGACATTGGGGCCGTTGGCATGCCGGACTGTTTAGAGGCACTCCTGTGCCTCCCCTGTAGGCTGCGCATCATCCATGCTAGCGAAGACTTCTTGTGCCCTTAGGGTGCTCACTGATTTTGCTTGGGCCACCACACAGGTCACCCCAGGTATTTGTGCGGAAGGTATGCATTGGTTGGTCAATGTGCCCGACAAGCTTTTCGGGTCTCAGTGCCACAACTCTCCCACTTGCTCCTGCATACTGACCAGACACTGCGCCTTCCTCCCCATGCGCAATCTGCACAAAGAACTGGAGTGGGCCTCCACTCTTCATTTTCACTGTGGATAGCGAGGTTGAAAGGTCATGGATGCACTTTTCCCGCACTGCGTCACTGTGGAGGTAATCAAGCAGCTTGTTACCATTGATTCCTTGCCCAGTGCACCGTCACGGCAGCCTCTCTACCACATTGTGTCGCGAAGCTGCGCACCTGGATCATTCAGAAGGTAAGACTTCAATGTTATAAGAAGGAAAAGTCGGTCAGCCTGCCATTGCCTGCTCCCGTCCAGACTTCCCTCGGAAAGCTGTTGCTTGACCGTGTCGTGGATTTTCTGCACTTTCACGTCTACAGCCAAGAAGCTGCTCTTGATTTTTTTTTTGGCTTGAACGGGCCTCGTCGACTACAGCTGTAGCACTCAGTCCCTACAAACAAGCAGAACAAAGCGGTGAAACAGAAAAGAAGCTCTACGAATGGGCTGCAGCGTAACCTGTGTTAGCCGTTCAGCAAACTACGAAGCTTCAGCGACCGGTCTAGAGCAACAAAGAACCGTCGCTCTGTGCCGCCCGAAACAACAGGTAGAGCCAAGACCAAGCCGGCAGCCGTTCTAGTCTTGCCAGACAACGGACAGCCCCTGTATCTTGTTCCGTCGATCGTGCACACCCAAATCCAAAAGATCGACAGAGACAGTTGAGCTTGTATCTCCAGTAAGATGTCTGCAAGTGGGAAAAGCAGTCGAAAAAGTGCTGCGATGGGAGTCCTGATGACTGCTCCGGTTGTCCTCCAGTTCAGTTTCGAGGGACTGCCCGTCTTTGCATCAACCGTCTCAGCAAAAGGCGAGACCTCGCCCTCTGCCTCTTAACGTGCCTCCTCCGTAGCAGCAGCCAGCAGACTTCCCATCAAGAGTGCCAAAGCCGATGGATTCCGCACCTGCAGAGCAACACCAGAGCCGATAGGTTTCCTGCCGCCTTCTACCTAAAGGAAATTCGGCGGCCAAGCCACTTTGTGTCGGCAAGTGTCACAAACCGACAAAAAAAAGATCGCTCGCAGCAGGCGCTCCAATCTCTGCGCAACACACACATCCGTGCCGCTGCCGCCCCCGCAACACAGTTTTTTCGGTCTGCCTCAAATGGAAGAACTGCTTTTGAATCAGGTTAGTGACCGCGCTCGTTGTGTCTCGTTTCGTTTTTTTGCTTCGAATGTTTTAGCTCAAGAAAAAGATCGAGTGCTGCGCACTCTGTTTTTCTTGTTAGAGGACTCCTGAAGCGCCACGGCCTCCTGTGCAAGATTGGAGTTTGAGAGTTCTCCCAGAAGGTACCTGTGCCTGAGAAAGCATCGACTTTGACCTGTTTGGACCAGATCCTGTTTGTCCCGTGAGTCCGTCTGCAGCTCAAAAGTGGAAGTGTTCTGGCTGCTATGTCTGGAACGTGTTCGGCCACCAGTGCCGCCGACGTCCACTTTCGGTGCGGACCAACTGCAGCACACGCGGCTCCAAATGTGGGGTCGAAGCTTAGCAATTTTGGCTTCGCAGAGCCTTACAGATCCAATACGGTTTAAAAGATGGCAGCAAGTGATCGAGTAGTGCAAGTCTTTTTTGAATGTTTCGTGTTTTTTGTTCACGTATGTTTTAGAAGACATGTGAATCTGTAGCACATCGCAGCTCTGGCCCTTACAGATCCAATACGGTATAAAAGATGGCAGCTCTAGCTAGTTCAGGTGGTTAGTGCCTGTAGAACGTAGTTTGAGCTTGCCAGACGGTCTTGCGGTAGCTTCAACCTGTTTTTCCTTGTTGTGTAGTGCTTGGGAGCTTTAAAGAGGTGCCACGACTACTGTCGTTTGGCTCAAGACACGTGAGACCAGCAGTGAGCTGTGCGTGCTAAAAGTGTGAACTGTCCGAGTGTTTTGTGAGCTTGCTTTGCTTGCAAGGGTGCTTGGAACTTGTTTGCCCTAAACCTGAAGAGCTGTGTGCCTTCTAGGTTTTTAACGGAAACAACAACAACAACCCAGGGAACCCAGGTTTGAAACCTGGGTTTTACCTGGGTTTGGAACCTGGGTTTGAACCTGGGTTCAAACCTGGGTTATAACCCAGGTTATAACCCAGGTTTGAACCCAGGTTGAAACCCAGGTTCCAAACCCAGGCTTGAAACCCAGGTTCTAACCCAGATTGGGAACTCGGGTTTAAAAAACAAAGGTTGAAACCCAGGTTATAACCCAGGACAGAAAACCCAGGTTTGAAACCCAGGTTCTAACCCAGATTGTATTTGCTGGTTGGCAGCACCCGGCGCTTTGTCCTGGGTGACTCGAACCCAGTTTCTCCCTCTGCTTGCTTTATGGATTCTTGTGCACTGTATACTCCGCCCATCTTACCATCGCTCCCCATGTTGCGATAACATTCATACGGGCACCTATCGGGGCCCGCTGCAGACTCACCCGTGCGCGATAAATGCTGTGGTAAATCATCTGGTTTTTCAAACCACGTTTTCTTTCAGCATAGTCTCTGGCTGTTTCGTTCATGGTCTAAGTCCTTCTTCCTGATGCGACCAGCCACCAGCGATGCGACAATCAGCGGAGTACCTTCCCGTTTTGCTGCTTCTCTCCTTGCCGGAGTTGAGGTCAGCCCTCAGAATTTCGGAGCCAGAGTTGTCCATTTCGCCGATCGTGCGCTAATGCTTCGTCACTAGACGGAAAGTGAAGCTGCGCGTGAGTTTCGGGCTGGTGCGAAGCATACGGAGGGATCCAGCGCATTTTTCGTCAGATTTGTCCAGATACCAGATCCAGATCGGAATTTGCCCTTGGCCGTCCTGGCCGGGCCCATCGTACGCGATCGGGGCTCAGAGGACGTGCACGCGCGAGTCCCAGCAAAAGATCCGCAGCGCCTGGGGGGGGGGGGGGGGGGTCTCGTGTTGTCTCTCTGAGCGTCAAACTGACGGCATCAAACTCTGATTGTCCTTGCTTTGCACCGCTTTGCTTTGCGATAATCCAATTGGTTGCCTTGGGCTTTGTGACCGAGAGTTGAGTGGAATCCTCCGCTTTTCACAATTGTGTTTTCGTATGTCTTCAGAGTCAGAATGTCAGAATGAGGCACATGATCAACATCATGAATGTTGTCATCATCATCGTCAACTTTCGCATAAACTTTAGCAAGACCCAGTTCAGCATCATCATCTTTAGCGGGTCCGTGTTCATCATCATCATCATCTCACAAATATTATCAACATCCCCAGATTTCTTGTCAGTTTCATCCGAGTGGTGAAGATCATCATCATGGCTGTATTCGTGTGGTTCGTCCTTGTGCTCATCCTCCTGGCGGCGCTTGTTCACCCGTTTTCGCATCGTGCTGTTCATGTTCACTTTCACAAACTGTTTCAAAATCGTTTCCACGAGGCCACGCCAAACCCGAACTCTCGTTTATTTGGTGCGACGTCTTGGTTGGATCCCAAGGGGTGGTTGTAGACAACATGATGTAGCAATGGTAGTGGTAATATGAAGGTAGCATTATTGCAACATGTCGGCATAGTGGAATTGCGAAGTGCGACATCAATTTATATAGCACAAATTTTCAGGAAATGACCTGACTTCAAGCCTGTGCGCTATGTGCGATAATTTGCTAAAGAAACAGACTCACGCACAAAGCCTTAATGGCGTCATGTGCAATAATTCTGCGAAGAAATACGGGCACACACAGCGTGGCTTCCGTTTGAAAGTGGTGACACATCGCGGCCGTCATGCATGCAGAATGCAGAGTGCTTGCACATGTGGGCATGTTTGTTGAAAAATGCCTGCCATGCCACATGCGGCTTGTTGCCTGCGGAACATGTAGGAATGTTCATGGAATTCGAATCTTGTGTAAAATCAGGTTAAATGTGTGTTTGGCATGACTGTTGTCATGCCAGGTGAACACCACGGGCAGCAGGAAGCGTCAACCAGTGTGACGTGGCATCAAACACGGATAGCAGCTACTTGGGCATTACAGCATGGGTTTTTTTAGCAAGACAACACCACGGAAATGGGTCAAAAGATGGAAGCTTTACTTGCATGCCGATGGCGCCGCATAGCTGCCAAGCAAGGCTCATGATTGCTAATGCAAACGGATCCGGAAAGAATGCTGAACTGCGACGTCTTGCATGGTGCGAGGAAAGTTTCCGGCGGTGGCCATTGCTGCCATTTTTCTGGGAGCCGTTCGTCCGACTTACGTGCTGAACAGGCGATCGGAGGATGAGTCCTTCAAAATAGCTCGGGCAGCAATTGGTTATGCTTGCCAGGCCTTTCTCTCGACGGGGGGCCCTGGGCGTTCTTGGAGCAGGCGTTGCGATCGCAGAGGCGTGTCAAGTGCCATTGCAGTAGTCCAATCAATGTGCATGCAGGTCAACATGAACATGCAGCATGTTTGTGCAGGAGCCGGTATTTGCGGACTATTCTCCAGAAAGCCGAGACAGTGTCTTGCTATTTTCGAATGCGGTTGCAGCATCAAAAGCGCAAACGTTCAGGACACGTCTGTTTGCCACGTTTGATACATCTTGATACGCATTGGTCGGCCGGAACTTCTTTGTGGCAAGACGTAGATTCACATTGGAGGCAGCCGGCGGAGGATATTAGTGTGTTCTCGTCTGATTTTGTTAGGAAAAGATGTGGCAAAAAATGATTGAGCATGGCAAGGGGACAGATGCCAGCAGCGTACCACAAAACATCCAAAAATGTGCAAGTTGCCGCTAACACCGCCTGCTGTGTGTGCATTCTTCGTCCTCAGCGGTGGGTCGCAGCGATGTCGCGAAAGGAGCAATACACAGTGTGTAACTTGCCAACGCGTGCATGCCGAGATTCTTATAGGTCCTGTGGATGGGCCAAGAGCGGAAAGATAAGGCATGACATCACGAAGCAACCGCCAATCGCAACGCCGCTACAAATTCGCAATGGGTTTGTCGCAGCATGGCGCGTAAAACCCAAGTTCACAGTGCAACTTAATCAATAAAAAACCGCTGTGCAAGTTCGAACTTATCGTGCCGAAGCGACATTTAGGTCGATGAGCCGTGTGTTGACCCTTGCATATGTTGTATGCAATCGTTCGCTGTGTTGCAGCGTGCCCGAACAAATCGAAACCACACAGCGTTTTTCTCATTTGTACATTTGGACGCATGTAGTTTTCGACGTATTTTCATGTGTTCATATGTGCAGCGTAAACTCAATAATGCCAGTTTACCAGCTACATGTACAGGTTCTGTAGGCGCCTGGCGGGATCGGAATTGTGTTGTCTCTCTTGCGAATACGATGGTCCAAGTCATGTTTGGATCGCTTCCAGCATTGTGTTGCAAGATAGGCATCTCGCCGAAGAAACCCAGCTATCCAGGAGCTCTTCTACTTTTTTGAAGTCGAAGGAAGGAGCATGGACAAACCCACGTCCGGATCAATGCTGGCAAGACATGCAAAACCCGCATCTGGAGGGTGAGCCGGGGCCCCGCCGCGCAGAAGCTTTTGTACTGGCATGTATTGGCCATGTATAGCACGATCGCGACACCATCCCGCCATCCAGGCCCAATGCACCTTTTGCCACGGAACATTTTTTGCATTTCGCTGAAGGCCGATCTTGCGATGAATGCGTGTCAGACGCATCATATCTGATGCATGTTGTTGTTGCTGCAGCTCGCAGCCACGAGCCCGCTCGCTCCCCGGCCCGGGATGTTGCGTCGCCAGTTTCACGACCTCACATGCGGCACCGTTTCGAACCAAGTGGCTGACAGCCTCGATGCTATCGCCAGCTTATGCCAGCTTCGTTGTTCAGGATGCTTCCGCCAGGCCATTGCCCTCACCCAGAGGGTGCAAGTGTGAGCACAGTCGCGTGAGGCCACCCGGGCACCACTTGTTTTCCCGCACGCACATGTTGTTCTATTCCACATAATGCCACGAAGCCCGTGTTCCCGGCCCCGACCGTGTGCACATCTAGGCGACACGGGTCTGCCCACATACCAACACGGCCCGAACGTCCTGGGAGCTCCGCCACGCTCGGTACAGATGTGTTTCGTTGCTGCGCCTTTTCACAACCTCCGTTTGTCTATACTGTCCGTGCCGTGCGCCATGCCAGGGCCGGGCACTTGAGTGAGACGCCTGCGGTACCGTTCCGGGTGCACATCTCCAGGAGGCGTGCATCAGCTTGCGTGATGCCGTTGCCCGGATGCTGGTCCAGCGCAGGACCTCCACAATAACTGCTCGTCTGGTTCAGCGGCCCGCATGCCCAAGGAGGCGACAGCCCTGCCCGCCAACCTCAGGCGAACCGAATTCGCCGTTCGCCACTCCGTCCGCGGCAAGTTTGTTTTTCCGATACACCGTCTTCCGCTAGCGGCTGTGTCCAGCTCCAAGCAACCTAAGAAGAGCTAGAAGAATTGGTCCCTGGTTAGGACTGATTCATCGCAACGGCAGGCGGCTCGACTTCCACCGCCCACACACTTCGGAACCGAACACGCACAGGGTTTGCGCACCGCATGCAATGAGCTCGGGGTAGGTGGCATGCTTGCGTCGCAAAGCGGTGCGCAGAACTGCTCCATCTTGTGCGGCCGCGACGGGGTGAGGCTCGCCATCGCGCGTGAGGCGAAACGAGGGTCGCATCGCAGCTCGGGGCTCCGCCCAGGGGTGCAGCGCCGTAGAGGACCAGGTCGAGGCGCCTGCGCGTGAGGCGGGCAGCGATGGTGCGGAGCGCGGTTAGCGCGGTTAGCGCGGCAGTTGAGGAAACATGCGCACAGCTAGTACTGTAAGGCAACTTATACAAGCAGCTTGCGGAGCAACGCGTCTTCGGCTTGGAGCCTTGCGGCGCCCCAGGCGCAGACGTATTCCGGCATGCCTATGGAGGTGTCGAGTGCGACGACGCCATGTTGCTGCGGGTGTCCCACGCCATGGCTTCAGAATCCAAATCCGCGATCCCTGGCGTCGCTGGGCCGCCGTCGTAGTTGAAGACACGCGTTTTGCCCAAGTTGGCAGATATGCCCGCATACGTCTCGACCGCTCCCGTCACCAGATCCAGGGCGGCATGCGCTAGGGTGGGCTCAATCAAGAAAACGTAAAGGTCATCGAGGAAAGCCATGAACGATTCACCCTGCCGCAGCTGAGTCTGCTCGGCACAATGCCTGGTGCAGGCGAAGGTCGAACAGGGCAGCGGAAGGGGGGCGCCCTGTTCGTAACCCTCCGCCTGACGTTTGCCGTGGCGGGCGCCGTCGCGTCCCACCATTGGCACATTGGTATTTCGACGTGTGGCCGTAACAAAACTCGTGCGAAGGGCACGAGTGCGGGTGCCACCTCGCACAACTTTGCGCAAAAACGCCGCTTGTGAGATACAGTTGTAAGCATGTTGTAAGCAGTACGCCCACGATGGCTCGAGCATCGTTTTCCAGGGTTGTGTGGAGTCGGGCCGACAGCGCATTCACTGTTACTCGGGGGCGAATTGCGAGCTGCTAGGGCCTGGTAGCCTGGTCGACGAGATGAGGCTTCCAGTTTCCAATCCAGTCTTTAGTTTCTGCACGATCCAGTGCTGTGTGCGGTTTTTCCTTGATGTTGGCTGTGTTGTGATGCCACTTTTGTGTCTCGAGTTGGTGCTCGAGTAATCGAGCATCTACAAGGGGAATTGCGGGGTTTGATTTGCTGTCTGCTGCGATGCCACTGGTGCGTTCCTTGAATGGTTGCTTGCGAAATCGAGCACATACCCCGAGCTTGGCCGTGCCCGGAGGTGCCGCCTCGTTGTCTTCGGCACTGAAGTTGGCGGCAATTTCGGCAGCGAAGCGGTGCAGTTCCTGGCGCGGCATCGGGCCGCCGCCGTACCCAGACAGCTGCTCCCTGCCGCTATCACGGCCTGGGTCGCGCGATGGTCCGGCCTTCTATCCGTCGCCGCGCAGCGCGCTTTCGCAGCCTCGCTGCTCGAGTTGCCCCCCGCCGCCGACCTCGGGGACGGACCGGGGCCTGAGCTGCATGAGCTCCTTTCAGAGGCGCGCTGAGCGGTCGCCCGCGGTCTGACCAGCCACTCTGCACGTAGCTTGCAGGTTGCACGGGGACCTGTCCTACCTCGCAGTCGCAAAATGGAGCGGAAAAAAAGAATCGAGCGTCTAGAGGTACGAGGAAATTGGCTGGTTTTGGTTGGCTGTTGGCTGCGATGCCACTGATGTGGGATCTTTACTGGAGCGACTTGGAGAGTACGATCAGTGTAATCATGTGTACTCTTGCTACGAATGAGGCTTCCTAACCCACCGTGCGCAGGGCACGCGGCATTTTAAGTACAAGCCGCAAACACTGCCGAAATGGGCGTGCCCTTGCGGAATGGCTATAGTTTAGCTGTTGTTGGGCTGACATCACCCCGCTGGGGTGACTTCACTCCACGCCGTGTGCCGCAGGCTTGGGGCGATTTTACGCCAGCTGGGGCGACTTAAACCTAGTGCTTGTAGCGCATGCGAAGAGAGTATACTGTCATATATGCTGGGGCGTGACGGAGGTTGCGCAATACGTCCCAGAACTTGTGGCACGTTCGCCTGTCGCAGTACATGTTCGTTCATAACATGGCGCACGAATGAAGGTGCGTGGCGCCAACAGCCCCCGACGAAGCCACGCCGGGGTTCACTCCGTGAGCGAGGAGTGGTCGTTCTGGGTTCACTCATTGGCCATCCGGACTTCATCCACGCGTGGGTCGACGAACGCATGCGCACCGAGCAAAAGCTGCTGGACCACCTGCCGCCTCCAATGCGCATGGTTGCTCCTGCACATGTGTGCGGCACCGCGGGCAACCCACGCCATCCGCACCATGCCTCCGTCCTTGTCAGCCGCATACGCCACGGCCCACGACGAGGCAATCTGGCAGACGTTGCATGCATGTCTGGGTGGGGTTCCCGAACAGGAAGCAGAACAGGCCCGCGAACTTGCGACACTCTTTGCCGCAGTCGGTGGCCTCGGCTTGCAATCCACACGCGACTCCCGGAGTACGCCAACCGCTACAACGAGGAGAAGACGCTGCTCCGTGTTTTCACGAAGCGGCCGACGCCCGCAGGATCCTACAAGACGAGGGGTGGAACGATTGCCCCTCTTGGCGAGCCATCTTGGAAGGCGAGCGGCCCGCCCGCCCGACGGATGCAAGACCTGGAGACTGGCCACATGGCTGGCAATTTCACGCGATGCGGACTCGCAACCAAAATTATCGCAATCGCGTGCTGTTGCCGGCCCTGCCGCCGACCTCTCGAGCCATGCTCCGCTCACAAGCTGGACCGCACGCAGGGGCATGGCTTGCCGCCATACCCAGCGAGCCAAGCACAACCTTGACTCCAGAGGCCATGCATCTGGCACTGCGCCGTCGCTTGCGACTACCCCTGCCCTTGAGCCCCCACCGGTGCGGCCCCAATCCAGGGTGTGGTCAAACCGTCGATGCATTGGGAGACCACGCGTTCGCCTGTCCACGGACAGGATTGCTGGGTAGGCGGGCCAAAGTGGTCGAACGCGCTTGGCTGCGCGTGGCGAGAGAAGCAGTAGGCGCGGAAGGCCAGGTCGTGCCACAGCAGTGG